CTACAAACTGAAAGAGTACAGCGGGTTATAATCCATCACCTGTGCTTGTTGTTTTTCAGTTTAAAAACAGGATCTGAAAGCGAAATGTGTAGTGAAATCCGATCGAATTGCGACCCATGAAAACCTGCTCGTTGTCAGAATGACAAATGAAGAAAGTGTTTCAGAAGCCTTGTAGCTGGTACTTAAAAGACTGTTGCGTTGGCTTTTTCTTCTGTGAATAAACGAGAGTCGAATTGATAGGAAGATGGGGATTGCTCGAGGTGACAGCGTCAGGCAAACTCAACTGCAGTCTCTTTGGGAGTTTTAGAGAAAAGATGACTTCTTTGAAATGTAAAATTTATGTCTAACACGTTACAATCAACACATGGTTGTGCGTATTATTTAGCTGCATAAATAATGATTTTCCAGAGAGAATAACGGACAAGCAAGTAAGTCATAATAATGAACTGAATCGAATGGCACAAGACAAATCCAAATATGAAAACAATAACATGGTAAAATCAGACAACCGTGATCAAATTAGCAACTATTAAGCGCTCAAACTCATCAGGTGGCAACTATACCCAGATCGGCATAAAGAAGGTGGAAGATAAAAAAAAGAAGAATCAAACTTACTTCGGCGGTGAAACGCACAATGCATAGCGGCATAAACCCAGAGAGGTCTTGAAAAGGTAGCTTGTAGCCTACCGAAACGATAGCGGAACAACTAGCACAGCTAAGAAATTGCGGTCGCAATAACAATGTTATCTCTTTTACAAGTTTCACGCTTGCAGACGAGATTACACTGTAAATGAGCGGAGTTCAAGTTCGGACAGACAAACATGTTCAACATCTTATACTCAATAAATAAAGAAGCCTCCACTTTGTTCTGTCCTATTGTAAAGCAAGAAGAAAGTGGCTAGAACACGGGAAAAGATTAGGGAAATTACAAGACGTGGTGAAATGTTTTTCCTACTTTGTGAGTAGCATAAGCCAATCAGAATCCTTGTTAGAATAGTGCAAATAATTTGGTTGGTTGGAAAAGACTGATGCTGTCAAAATGTCAAACCATTCAAGTTCACAAAATGAAATAGTGTAGTGAGGTTCGAAATCAACAATTTTTTTGAAGTTTTTCGGTCTACAAACAAAAACAGAAAGTGAAATGTTCTGTGAAATCTAGTCGCATGGCGGCTCATGAAAACCTGCTCGTTTTTAAAACGACCGGATGTGCTATACTCCAACTACCACACAAGACTTTTCACAAAAAATGAAAACTATGTCTTAAGACACATCCTCCATGAGGCAAAAATATTGCATGACTTCCTGAAGCATGCTCCGGAATAGCTCACACCTGCTTGTTCAGTGAATAGATAAATAAATTAAGACATATTTTTGAAAGGACTCAGAGTAAAAGTTCCGTAAATTACAATCCCGAATTTGCGAATTTTCGAAGGCTTGCTGCCTTCGAAAGAGTGTATAGAAACTTGATATCAAAATTAATCAGAAAACTGCTCAGGACAATGTGCAACACAATTCTACAGAAGCATTTGAATGACGTTTCCCACCTCTTTAAAAGATTTCGTTTATTTGCCCTTTTTCAAGGGAAAATCTCGCAACGAAAGGTAAAAATTTGTCTTGCCATAGAGGACAAAATCACGATAGAATTTGAGAAATGGGGCTCCTTAGTCCAATTTAACTGTGAAGAATGGTGTTAAATGGTTTTACCAGACTAAATAACCGTCAAAAAGGTTTCCGTGACGGTCGGCTCCATAGTTAAAAAAGAATCAAGTTGATAAACGTCTGAATACCTTAATTAGAGACTAAACAACGCTTACAACTGTTTACTTATTCAGAAATGTGACGTAACTCTTTTATCAGTAGATTATCCTGCAGGGAACTGATGAAACCACTGGCTGCTCAAGCTAGTGATATGAGCTTGAATAAATAGGCTACTTATTATCGACATTATTACGGAACTTACAAATCGATTGTGCGGCAAATGCGCTTTGAAGCTGAACACGTGTCTTCGTATCTTTCCATGTGCAGTTAGATTTTAATTGGCTTTCATCTAGACAAAAAAAATGTTCAGTCTGGGCGCTTGATCAAGTGTAGTTCTCTGACTGTTTTCTGAATCATGCTAGTAGTGAGGCTATTGAGTAGCTTATTTGATAAAAGAAAAATGTCGTGTCGTGAGCGTCAACCGCCTGCAAATAAACAGGCGTTATTTTGGAATCAGCTTTAAAGTGTTCTCGGCCATGATCTTTGTGTTCATGGAACTTCAACTATAGTCAGATAAAACAACGATTCCCCATGATTCATGTTGTTACTGAACAACAAAGCACACTATTGTATTGATAGGTTACCCACACAACTTATGTTGTGTAAAGCGCAAATCTTCAAAATCCCTTTCGTCATGAATTTCTCGCAACTATATTTGTTTATCATCTTTCACTTTTCCATTAGCCCCCGTGACCACCTGTTTGCGAAGTCGACATGATTGTAATTATAATAAAACCACCACGTGGAAAGGGAACGTGATAGTTGATTTCCCATTTTTTAATTTCAACATGGCACTACTGATACGATGTGCTGAAATATCTCTTACACAAAAATACAGACCATCGGGTAACACGTAGAGGACAGTTTAAGTCTACATCACACCCACAACTCAGTCTGTAATATCCTCCCTTTTAGATTGGATCTCAGGCTTGAAAGTAATATGTGTCGAAAACAAGTAGAGGAGGGGGCGCGAAGGAAGGGGTTGACACCGAAAAAGTCATGAGACATTCTAAAGATCAGTAAAGCACTAATAGGGTAAATGGGTTGGGAAACGGTATATAGACTTCAGTATTAATCTAAAGATTTAGATATTGCCCAAACATTTTTTCCTTAGGATATCAAGTTTCGTAAAGTTTTGCGGATGAACTTTTTCCGAAGGTGTCCAATAGAATTTGCATCCCCGGGGAATTGACGCACTCTGAACCCGAAATTTGTTGTTATCAGATGAGAGGGGGTTGAGATTCGAAACTTTTCACATGGAAATGTGACAGTGGGTTTAAGAATTTGAGGAAGAGCGGAATGGGAAATGATAAAATAACCGTCATTTTAAAAAGCAGGTGGCAAGAGTTACACAGACTCTTTCGTGGTTTTGCGGTCGAAGCGAAGTTTCGTTTTAATAAGCGCGACTCTAAGCTTACCTCCAGTTCTAGTGTTATATCTGAATTCTTAAGCAGCAGACGATTTTAAATTGACAGAGAAGGTAATCTTTTGGTTGAGTGAAAGGGCCTCTAACTTCTACCAGAATCGGAATAAACTTTTAAAGACTATCGAGATGACGGAATTGGGGAGTGTTTTGTCAGGCGGAGATGGCGACATCGAAATACCCAATTGGATCTCTTTTTAGGGGACTAACGACAACGATTGGTCGGGAAAAAGATCTTGAAACATCCTGTGGTAAAAATCTGGTATCAATTCTCGAAAGAAGGGCAGTTGTCTCCCTAAGAATACGATGAAACTCCCAAAAACTGAGATAGTAAAGTTAGCTTTTTAAGAATTATTAATGCAACTTTGATTTAGGTGATAAGCGGGGGAGACGCTTTAGTTGACGATGACAATGTTGCGTTGATACAGCACCCTTGAAAAAGTCCTATCGACAGCAATCACGACATGTACTTTTGAGCCCTAAATTTTCTCTAAGACAATTTTTTTAAAAGTCGTAATAAAGTCTTCATTATTATCCTTAAATTCAATAGTTGATAGCATTGGCATCAAATTTAGGGCATTTTCATTTTTCTTACATTTCTCCAATACAAATCAAGAACTGAAAACGCTGTTGGTAAACGTTTGAAACTCATATACATGAAAAAAAATCGGTGGTAGGCTAACTCTATCTTGGATTCCAATATACCGTAATTGAACTTGCCTGAATGTAATGAAGAATAGCGCGTTTTGTTGACCCATGCACCTTTAGTAAATCCACCCAAAAATTATGAAAATAATATTATTAAAAGTGGAGCGAACTTACCTTATATTTCAACTGTACAAACGTAAAGCTAAGGCAACTCCTGAAACAGATCAGAAACGAGCAGAGCTAGCACCACCGGACAGATCAGAGTCTTCTTTCAAACAGATCGAGTAGGCGCTCGTTTGCTAAATACAAGGCTACAGCAATTGTTCTTGTGTTGAAATTTTCGCATAAAGCGTGGGTCGTGACCATAAATTAATAAGCATTAGCTTTCCCCGTTATAATTTTATCGCCAACAGTAGACTACTTATTGTAATTACAAATGCAGAACTTCGTAGAGAAGAATGAGAACGCGTCCTTAAAACCAGCCGATTCAACGGCAGATAATAGTTTTTCATTTTTTTTCCTTTCAAAAAACAGCGCTGTCCCGTTGAGTTTGTTTACATAACATAATAACTGAATCCACATCTCGTTTCGACTTCCTGTCCGTTAAAGTCTATTAAAGACGTTATCTTTTTAATGCGAACGAAGCACAGTTTTATGCAACCACAATCTTATCAAACTAGTTCTAAATATTTTTAAGAGTCTGAGCCTTTCATTTATCGGGAAAAATCGCTTTTAAAAGTTATTTCATGCTGTATATGTTATGGTAAATGTGCCGCCATAAATGACCTGAAAGCATTTAGACTAATTTCGAAATAATTTTTTTATCATACAGACTGTATTTATTTGAACGTTTTTATTCCTCAAGATGTACGCGTTACAGTACTAAAGACTATTGAAACGTTGTTTATGTCATAAATCTTTCTTTTTAATTTCATCACAGGGTTTTGAGTCTCGTACATAGTTTTTCTGTACATGACAAAGCTTTGGGTAACTTTAACACAGTAGTAAGGTATAGTTTTAAGGTTATCACGACGTTACTATCACAAGTCTTAACAGGGAGTGGAATTTGATGAGCACAAAACAGAGGAGTAAAGCTACAAAGATTTTCCATGTTCTCTGCTTGTAAAAGGTTTCAATTAGGGCATTTCTTCTGCCATAACATGATAATCATGTGCGTACTATGAATGCAATACAACTAGAAAGCTTTCCGTCTTTTCTGCTTTGTTGTTAGGTTGAAAGCATCTTCCTTCCCTGGCAAGATAAAGGTGCGATTCAGAAAGTACAACTAAGATTTTTTTCTGTCTTTTATGCATGGCTGGAAGGTTCAAAGAATTTCCCTCCCTTCGAGTTCTAAAATTGCGTTTTCAACAAAGAAGATACAAGCAAAATTATTTTCGTCTTTGTTCTGTTTTATTGGAGCGTTTAAAGTAATGATGAAGATATATGCACCCCCACTTAGTTCCACGATTGTCCTGAAATATAATTAGAGAAAAATATTGGAATTGATGTAGTCTAGGCGATTTGCGCTAATCACTAGGAACCACAATGACCGGATGTTTTTAGGTTCGAATGGCAAAGTTAAAAGCGCATGGCACGTAACTATAGCCCAACCAAGATAGACTCAAGTTCTAAAAAAAAATAAGAGATAAATCCAGCGTTCAGCCTTTATTGTTCTGGTTTGAGATTGGTTTCCAAACTGACTGCCTAATCATTTTAGTCATCATCTGTAAAAAAAAAAACGAAAATTCTACATCAATTATCTAATTGTTTTGGGTAAATTCGAAAAATAAAAGATGCTGCGGTCTCTTTTGGTTTCTCTTTTAGCTTTTTTTCTGAGCGAAAGTTTTGAGTCTTTTCCTTCTCTAAGGAAGCCAACTGCAAGTTATGTCACTTTATAAAACGCGGTGGTTAATCTAAGAAGAATACGCCTAACTTCACCATCTAGAAGGTGCGGAGATTTTAATCGCCGCAAGAAAGGCTTGACTCATATCTGGAGACGTCCCCGAAAAACAAACTTTCTTTTCAACGTACACTTTCTTTCTCTTTTAGCCGACTCATATTAGGCTAAATAGCGTAACACAGTGTTTACTAGGGCTGTCGGTAGTTGCTGCAGTGTTTTAATGTGGTGTCCTAAAAAATCCTGGAATGAACGAGTTCCTCCAGTTGTGTGGTGTCCCTCCCATTCGAAGGTAATATCGTAAAAGATTCGCTGGATCCCAGTTCTGCTCTTGGTTATAAGACCCAAGTACAACATTCGGATAATGAGCAAGTCAAGGATAAAACTTTGTGATTGATTATGAACCATTTAAATCATAAGGTGCAAGAGTGGATGATATCCTTCCTTAATCACACCTATCCGTTACTGAGGAAACATCATGCAAATTATGCAGAGCGCAAGCTATTCCTCAAAGCTTGAGAAATTTTAACACTCAATAGCTAAAACTACCAACAAGATTTAGGTTACTTCTCAATTTATTTTTATCATTTGATCAACAAGAGAATATAATCTCTTGTGACTAGCTAAAACAAAAAGAAATCGGCTGTTATTTTGTGAAAAAAAAATTGTAAACTCAACTTTAAAACCTAGACTCTCCTCTTCCCATCAAACAAAATTTTATTAATTTGATTCGAATTTTTTCTGTGATTTGATCAGGAGAACAATTTTATTTACAGATATATTCGTGAATACAATTTCATAAGAGAAGATTTCTGAAAACTACGTTATTCAGTTATTAAATTCGTATTTCAACCATCGTCGGAAGGTTGCAATTTCTTGCGATCATAAGAACCGTTAAGACGATTTCACTTCCTTCCTCTTACACCAGAAGCTACGAGGACAATCGTTCTTCTCGGTGGATGCATGGATAATGCTTCTCTTCTTTTTACACCAGTATCCAGGGGGGCAGGCTGAGTCATCTTCTTGCTCCGTTTGGGCGCACACGAAATCGCGTGGGCAGCTTCGTTTGGACACAAGATCAATCGACCGCTTCTTGCGGCACCAGTATCCCGGCGGACAGGAGTCAATGGAACGAGACTGACTGATCTCATCCCTGCTAACCTTGCACCAATGCCTAGAAAATGTCACAAAACGCTGACTGAGTGTACTGGATCGAAAGGTGGGGAAGGCCCACAAAAATGGTTTTAACAGACAACCAGCTAGGGTGACAACAAACTGCTCCACGAAAAATACATCAAAATAAGTTTATTGGATAGAGTAAAATCGTCAAATTTTCTATACTGGAGCATCCTCCCTCGGACTCTCCCGCGCAAAAGATCAAGTGATCATTTTTAGAACACCACGACTGGTGCGTTCTTTGTGTTCCTCGCATTAAAAATTTGTACAAGCGGGCCTGGTGTAGTTGAAAAAATTTTCCATGTGTCAAAAAAATAAACTTGAGCATGTTCTAGGACGCCATAGCCTTCACTTATGACATTTTCACAGTTAAGCACGAAATTCATCTAAAGAAAGTTTGTGTAAGACGGAAGAGCACCCCTTCAGTTAACAAAGTTTTCATTGCGCATGTGACTTCACGACTACCATCAATCTATCATAAATTACACAGCTTGGGGACATAATAAATTTATCATGAAGTGGACATATTCTTAACGTAAAGCAAATTTCCAGTAAAGAAGCTTCTAAATTACGATTCAAGATCAGTTTGAATTGCGTAAGGAAAATTGAATGCCCGCGCTAGCATTAAATTGGATGTGAATTTCTGCAAATAGCGTGAAGAGGGAAGAGTGCAGAATTTCGAGTCAATTCCAGAGTCAACTGACCATTCGCTCTTCTCACTCAACTTGTGAGTTTTGAAAAATGGGATCCATGCCTTAATCTAAACTACTCGTACTCACTCGGCTGCGCAGTTCTCTGGTTCAGTTGGTTGATCGAGGACCAATTCGCTTCTTCTGCACCAGTATCCTGGCGGACAACCGGAAGTGCTTCGTTTAGATCGGCAAATAAATCCTCTTGGACACTCACTAGAATCAAACTCGCGCTTTTTCTTACACCAATATCCCGGAGGACATGTTGATGAATAATCGTCTTGAAGTTCAGCGGTCTTTTCGGCCGAAGCGCTGGTTGTGAACTCCACGAAAATACCCAATAAAAGGGCTAAATATGTAACTTGTTGCCACATTCCTGTTGATAAAAAGGGAAGCGATGAAAATATGTCATTTTTTTTCTTTTTTTTTTTCACCGTTGTTGGTTCTGCTGCTTGCCTGCAATGGAGCTTGCTCTTAATATAATTGATCAAGATGGTATCTCCCTTTATACCCCCATACTTTTTTATTCATCTGTTGTTTTTATCTGTTTCCTCTCTAATTTTTAGACCATCATGAAAATTAAGCTAGAAGTCGGTCCATCAATCAATATTTAAACCGGCCTTTTACAACCCAACAGCGGTCAGCGGTCAGCTTATTCTCCATACTTTTTTCAACACATTTCCTTTGATACTGTCAAGGAGAATTCGATCGACGATCAAAGCTTCTTTGGCTACCGATCGTGTCCCTTGTTCTCCTGACCTTATTGTTTGATTCAGCTGTGATAATGTAAAGAGAAATTAGATACTAGTCAGTGTTAGGGGTTAATTCTCGGCATCCCTAAGCATTCGCTGTCATTGTTTTTGTTTACTCTTCCCTTTTATGTCTTCTGAAGCATTATATGTTTATTCATTGTGTCCTCTTCTGATTGGCCGATATTTTTAGTTTTTGTTAGGTACCAGAAGCACCCGTCATGGCCTTCCTCAGGACCGACCATGTCCATTGTAGCACTAAGTCTCATGGAGTTTTCACCTTCTCTCTCCTTAGCTTGTGGCAAGAGTTACGCTAACCGCGCAACTAATTATTTCCAAACTCATCTACAAGAGATCAGCTCTTGATCCTTTAGACGTACTATTTTGCTGAAAATCATCATTCCTAATATCACTTAGTGTCACTTTCGCTTCCTCTGTTGCTTTAGTGGGAGCTGAAGGTGATTTCCGTACTGTTTATGAAATGTTTACAGAGAGCGCTTTCTATGACATGATCAAAGATATCCTTAGCAAACAAATTACCAAAAAAATTTTCTCATGTCTCCCCTGAATCCGACTGGCCGAGTAATTTCCTTTTCGCTTAATTGTTAAAGTCGACTTCTTCTTCATTTCATTTTATTTTTTTCTTTTTCGCTTTTAGAATGTTGGAATCTCGTTGCGATCTTTACTCACACGTCCAAAAATAGTTAGTGCATTCTATCTATGGAAAAATATACCTTTCTTTCACGTCATTCGATTTTTATCTATTATTTGAACCTTTTCCTAGATGATGAATTCTTTTGAGTCGTATCAAAAGGAAAATGACTCTGAACTGATAGGAGAGCTACATAAGTCTGGATTATAAAAAAAAGAAAAATTCACGTAGGCTTTTCAAAAAAATGTCCTTCAAGTCGTATTCGCGAAGAAGAAAACTAATGATACATTCATATTTTTCAGTATTCAACAGTTCCTTTTCATTTTCTAAACAGAGAATAAACAGCTGAAACAAGAAAGAACAGATCTATTTACTGAAGAATAAAATCTTTTGTTCCATTTCGTATTTTCGGGGCGAATTGTCTAGTACTCTCACCCACAGTCTTTTTTGATACCTCGTTGGAACAAAAACGCACTCTATCCCTCCGTTCTTATCTGAAAAGATTCCTCAATAAAAGCCATTTTGTCTCGTATTAGATGATTTCCTGGGAGCAAAACATTGTCTCTCTTTAGGGCGTGTAAAATAAAGCGAAACTGCGAATTTAATAATGAATCAGATCTAAAAGGAGCAAATTATATCCCTCGAGGCCCGTTAAAACAGAAAATTTTCGAAGCGAGGTTCAATAACAAATTATCCACCATTGAATTCGCGTAAGTTTATCACACACGTCAACTTGGATTAGAAAAAATGCAAAAATGCAAAAATATGCAGATAAATCTCCAAAAGACAAATTGTGAGGGCAGATTGAATAGGTTTAATTAAACAAGCTAAACATGATACTGTAAGCGTTTAACAAGATACTTAATTGAATTCTTACTTTTTACGCATTTACGAAGAATAGAAATTTCCTTATTCTGTCTGTAATATGTCGATCAAAGAACATTGTGTAGGGATTAAAATGCATTTTTCCGAAGGATATTCAATTAATGTTGAGGGAATGCTTGTGAAATTGTTTTTGTCAATTCAGTTGACTCCAAAAAAATAGAACGAATAAATATATCTTTTTGTCGAGTTTTAAAGTCGTTTATCTTTAGCCTTAGTTTACACACAATTTTTAAAGATAATTCTGCTTTACAAATGCTCTTCTACAGATCTTTAAGAAGGATCTCACACTGAGATTTTGAGCAAATCAAACAGTACTTTCGTACAAAACAAATTTCTCTAAAACAACGGGTTACAGTACAAAAGTAAGGTTTCCTTTGTATCACTTTTTATCGGAATTATCATTACAGAGCGAAATAAATTAAAAAAATAAGCAACTTGGCATGCTGATCAAAAGATTTTTCACATCAGTAGAAGTAAAAAAGCTCAAACTCTTTAGCAAAAAGGGCAGCGTTTACGAAATTTCATACAGTTTTTCACAAAAAAAAAGTCAGACACAGGATGGCCGCAGTAAGAATTAAACAATATTCAAATTTGAAAGTTATGTTCTCTCGTGGTTTCACACAGAGAAAAAGAGAACTAATTCTCCATTTAGAATCTTTAACATGACAAACAGCCACAACAGGCAAAATGCACCTAGTCGCAAAACGAAATTATATTAGACCTGTTAAGCATTCAAGCAGGGAAGACCTTTACTCACCTTTATATACGTATAAAAATGGAGAAATTAAGTACTGTGTTCCAAGACAAGCAGTATGAAAATGAAGAAAAATTACCCGTTTAAATTTGCGGATCTTGCCGCAAGTCCTACGATGTTGGCCTTCAAACTGAACACATCGCTTTATAGTCCCAAGGCTAATTGTGGGTGTTTTAATGAAGTGTTTATCTTCGTCAATGATAGGATATCCGAAGCTAATCTAGACACGCAGATCGATTGTTTGAATTGGGTAATTTGTTATTGAATCTCGAATCCGCATCCTCTTGAACGTGATACAATGCCACAGTCTGAGTAAACATTTAGCCGGGCAAGGATCGATTTTAATTAGCGCGTGGTACGATATTTCCGGAAATCCAACTAACAATGAGAAGAAATGCTATTTAATTCATTCCAACCATCACTTAAACCCTCAATCACCCGTGAAAATGAGATTTGTTATCTCGGCTAAATGCAGGCGGTTTAAAATGCATTCTTTCTATTGCCATTTTCATTCCAATTCAAAGGGCGACCATGTTAAAATCCATTCTAACCATTCAAAGGAGGATGGTATTCTAACGACGAAAATAAATCTGTTCAATTTAAGGAGGGAAGCAATTGTTGAAATGATATTGAAAAAGCCATTATCTTGATTTAACAATAATAATTGGCTTTTTTTTTATCAATGATTGTTTTAACGTAGGGCAAAAAAAAACACTAAGCCTGTACATGAGGCCTATCTGCCTGAAAATCTATTTTCCTTCAATACAGAAGCCATATTGACTCCTCCTACGTTTCATAGCATTCAGCGATTTCTAGAGAAAATTTCCAATACAAAGTTAATAGTAGGAGGTGATTCGCACGGATTTTCTCGAACATCTTTTGGAAGAATCTTCCTGCATGATGGAAGGTGCTTCGCAATTTTTCCTTTTTTGCGAAATTTCCTTCTTAGAAGCGAGGATACTCTGGCCGATTAGCCATTGTTGTAAAGGTAGTAATGATCTATTCTGATAATGCTATAGAATATGATTTTAAATGGACATTTATCCCACGCTCACAATAGTATTAAAAGCATTTGGCGAACTCAATAAACTTCTGCTTGCGAAATGCGCCGTTTTATCTTCAGAAAAACAAAGCATAGACCTATATTACTTTCATGGGCAATTGTAAATTGTATCATATCTTCATCGTTGTATCACAATGAATCTTTCGGTGCCCCAAATCACTCCAATACTGTTAGACAAATGATTTTAATCATTTAAGTTTTTGAAAGTACATTGATATCAGAGAAGGTAACGTTGTTGTAACCGACCATGTCGTTGTTGCCCTTGCTGGTCATGTTTCTAAAGAAAGCTCTGAAAAAATCTGAATCGGATACCACGGAGATTTTAGTTTGCAATCAATACTTTTTCCCAAAATGACTATTGCAACAGCATGAATAGAAACAGAAATGTCAGCTGAAATTAATCGAAAAGAAATCCAATTAAGGAATGATATTTAAGGTAAGGAAATTGCACCAAACACAACCCAAATTCGAAGCATCGAAACAGATTAGGTTTAAGAGAAAATATAGCAGCTAATATATCGTGAGAACGTGTTTTATAACTAGTCCAAAATTCTTCAAGGAAAGTGACATAAATCTTATAAACTGAAAATTAAATCATTTAGTGAACAATTTAGCAAACCTTTGTTTGGAGAAAGTGATTTCTCCACAATAATTAGTTTTAGTTATTGAAACACTCGAGTCGAAGGGTAATTTTCTTAAAATCGTTTACAACTAACACACTGTTAAAATGTCGTTCATCCAAGCAAGCTTTTCAGAGAAGCCATTAGCGAATTCCTTTTTCGTTTTTTCGTAGATTAAGGTGTTCCAAAACGGTCGGCACCGAATCTAGGTGAACTGAGAGATCAAGACAAACTGTGTCGCCGCTTTCTAAGTTTGAATTCAAAAGCAGACTGGTGCAAAAACAGTGGTTTTCGGGAAGGGGAAAAATCGATTAAAACTGTATCCATAGCTTTGTAGAGAAAACTTTATACAAATAAACTCGTGTTCGATAGAAAAACTTAGAATTCCAGTTTTCATCCGATCATGCAAGGTATCTCTACCAAAACTCTCTTTGAACAAAACAACCTGAAACCAGGTGTTGATCAACTATCATCGATGACAACTCGTAGAAACAAGAAGTCGACTGCTGGTAGAACTGAGATAAAAAAAACAAATCACTTTCCATCAATTTATCAAGGAAATTAGTCGTTTTCAGTGCCAATCATGAAATCAGTTTAAAGACATCCAACGGAAATAAAAACGTTGGCGTTCTTGACATTTTAACCGTCGGAAAGATTTGGAAGAATGGTAAATACGGGGTGGTACACACTTAAGAAAAAATTGGCAGAAATACAATGTATTATCAAGTTTTACTCTCTATTTCTCAAAGAGCTGACTACTTCTTTCGATTATACAATGTGTGCGAAACAATTAGTTAACAAATACGTCCTCCACCGAGCACGGAAATGATGAAAGGAAGAAACACTTTTGTGCGCACAACGATGACGCTTATCTTGCCCAAATTCTGCAGGAAAAATATTTTATTTTCTACATTATCTCAGATCGTAACGAGGAATTACGTCGAAAGATGCTGCAACGTAGTGCTTGCGTTGCCTGAGAAGGGCGTGGCAAAATATTCAGTCTCGCGAACTGACGCAAAACATGTCATCAAGATCGCGTTCGGGAAAAAGACATGTTGCAGGACTTTATTTAAACAGCTTCCCACCTTTTCTTTATCACAAATAGAATATGGACACACTGGATATGACTGTAAAGAAGTTTGATTGCGCCAAAGACATTTTGGAAAAATTGAGCTAAGGTATACGCTCAGTCAACTGTATGAGCTCTCACCATATTGTATAAAACGCCTGACCGCCTCTGTTTAGTTCAAGCTTATGCAGACTGTTAGAATTGGCAACAGCACCATCTGGAACCATCATGCAATACATACCTTTAAAAATTTTACTTACTTTCAATGAGATCGATTAACATTTAGCAAGATCACCCTTGATTAACTACATTTACAGTAAAGGGGTTGATATACTTCACGGGTCGTAAATCAATTTAAACCGAAAGGGTATTAGTGTGCGAATTTAACACTAAAACACCTGTTCATTACCTTCGTCTCCCTTAGAATGGTCTTTCTTCTTTACTGATTTTCTTTTTCTTCTTATCCTTGTTGAATTGAACTGATCAACGAACGCAGCAAGTGAAACTGTACTTTAGATCTAAAACCTATCATTCACGAAAATCTGAAGACGGTAAATATGATCGGCAAGGGAGGACTAAAGCAGCCAGCACTTTCCGCGCTTTTGCTGATCCGCACTTTTGTCAGCCTTGCAGATCAATCAAGAGAGATGTCGCAAACGGCTTCAAAAGGATGAAAAATCACACAGGAAAAGAGTCAGGCTTCGGATTTGTCACCTTTCTTTGTAGATGGCGCGGTGACCTGAAATCAGTCATGCCGCTGAAGGCGATTGCTATATGCTTGTGTGAACAAGAATGCCATTTGTCGTTTCTCGTTTACTTGCCAAAAAGCTGGCGCTGACAACCCAGTTCTTCATTAAACGTAGGGTGATAATGATGACCCCCCACAAAAAAACCGTCGATAACGTTCACCAGTGACACTTTATCCTCTCCTGCTTCAACGAAATGGTGCAGGATGAAAAACTATTGATTTAGATCGAACTAAAACCTTTTTCCTGAATCGGTCGGTTAGATTTGACTCTGTTTCATTTGCGCGGTGAAATTCGAGGCTATATTACAAATTTGGAATTTCTCTCGAACAAAATTCGCGCCCAAGTATTTTTGTTTTCATGCGCTGTCTGTTTCGCTCGGGTCGTAAAGAGGAAATTGCGGAAATCAGTATATACTCGCAAATGCGCTGTTATCATTTTATCAATCCTTTAAATGCACTAATACCGAAAAAGAACTCTTGAAAAAAAAAAAAAAGGTTCTGTAGGAATATGGCCACCGTAGAGTATCTTATAAAGTTCTCGGACCCTGCAGCCTTCATGAACTTCACGGTTCTCCTTCTCTAGTTCCAAAGCCAGGGCGAATTCTTTTGGACGAAATTTTCTAAAGAAAAGTGGGAATATAACTTTTTCAGTTTCGGTGTCTTTTAGTAAAAGGTACCGCCGGGATGAAAATGATAGTTCATCCCATGGGGGGAATTTTCTTTTTTCACCTGCCTTAAAAGGACTTCCTAAAGGATTTAACTTAAAAAGTTTGGAAGGGCAAAATATACTGTCATAAATGGTACTACATGTCTTTACTGTCAAAAGGGAAGTTTTTATAGATGCGACCAAATCAAGTGAGCATTGAAAAAAAGATGTCGCAAAAAATTGGTCGCAAATGCAAATTTACGACTGATCTACATACTGAAGTGACCCGTAGAACTGCCACTACACTGCAGAATGTAAAAGAGGGTACACTATGTTCTTCAGCTTTTAGAATATTTTCCTTTCGTGACATTTCCGACTTGTCAAAAGTGAAGTTCAGCTGAAAAAGGGGCGCATGGCCATTCATCCGGTCACATTCTATTTAACAATACCTTTTTTTGAGTTAAGTAACACCGCTAGACAGTTTATTCTGCGAAGTAAATGACGTGAATTTCCGATCTTTGCTCGAGCACTCCTTTAAGATAAATAGTTACCATTGTGATAATGCTTTTTCTATTGCTTCATTCAAATCTCCAAATGCCAAGAAGTTTTAAATGCGGAGGTTAGGCTTCCAAAAAAGTTTTTGCAACAAGCTCTGGATCACCCAAAAATATTTTATTTACACAAAAAAAAGAACCATTTAATTTTCATATGTAACACAGTTTAGCCAAAACCTTTGACTAAAAATCTTAACGAAGGCCTATAACGATGGTATTGTCATTTCGTAGATTAGTTCGAACTGTACATGTAACGAAGTCCTCTCAACTATTATTTATCTCTATTTACAGTATCAATAAATTCAGTACAGAGAATAAAAGGTGGTATCTAGTTTTAGCCGCACAATTCACTACATATCTGCATTTAGGTTTCGTGAACAAGCTTCAACAATATTTTCTCAATCTTCAAATATAATGAAGGCGAATATTCTCTCAGTTGGATTTGCTTCTCAGTGCTGTTCCCATGATTCTCATGGGGTGCACTTTATCAATGGTTGGTCTGTCGAGGGCTTCTTTTAGCTTCCTCTGATATTCAGCTTCTGCTTCCTGTAACAAGTAAAATAAACAATCGTCAGCCTTCTCTGATCTTTTCTCCTTTGTTTGATGTCACACCTACAGGTTCCCCACAGAAGTCGAGTTTTTGTGAAACTTTAACACCTCTATTTTTTTATTTAATTGTTATTTTTTCCCTAAATGTGCGAATCACCTAAATGAAAATGGACAGCCCCTAATCGCCGTGTCACGGGCCAGTGTACACATAATCCATGAGATCACAGTAACAATTGATACACCATTTACTTCCTTGCTTTCTTTTAACTCTTTCCTCAAAAATTTCAGACCATAGATTATGCTTAATTCGGCGAATCTGATGATGACTTTCTGAGACAGCTCTCGAAACGTCATTGAATGTCAAGATGTTCAGTATTTGTCACATCTGTACACGATCACACTAATTACTGACCTGTCCCATTCTGAATTCTCTTTCTTCCTCTTCTATTTCTTTAGCTTTGACTCTGCGTTGATAGTCAATTTGCATATCAAGGTCCCGTTGATAACCAATATTTCTGTTCTTTATTCTCTCTTGATTCTCTGCTTCCAATCGCTTGTGCTCTTCAATCGCTGCCAAGAGTGCATCCCTTTCTGCTATTTCAGCTTCTTGTTCCTTTTCAGCAATCCGTTCTGAGAAAAACAAGTGCAATGACTGGGATTTAAAAGGGTTCTTAAACGATTGTTCCCTACGTAGTCACAGATCACTTGTAATATGTTTCGAAGAACAAATCACTTTTAAGGCTAATTTTTTTAAGTTCGTCGGCTGCAATTCGCTTTAAAGTTCATCCTGTGTCCTATTTGTTTCTATCTAGCTTCTTATTGTCTATTTTCTGTTCTATTTCACTGGAATAGTAAATTACAGTCTCGTTCAAGATAGAAGAAGTCTTGCACTTCACAAAAATGCCACATAATGCAGTGGTGTTTCTCCTTAACAGGTTCTCACGATCTTGGAACTTTAAGATTCGGTTCCACAATAAAACCCCATACCAAGGGCAATATGGGCCATATACTAGACCACTAACGCAAAGGACTACGACACTACCAGCGAGTTGGCCTTTACCATGATAGTGATAGTCTAATATACTACACCAGGTGCTACTCGTAGCTACTAACACTAAATGTATAAGATTGTGCTCTTGATTTTCCCCAACTTACTTCTTTCCTCAATTTGTTGTTCCCTAGATTTCATGACATTGGCCAAGAGTTTCTGGCGTGCATCTCTCTCCATTTTGTATTGCTTTATGGTTTGCGCCCATTTCTTTTCCACCTCCTCATTTACGATGCGCTCCAGTTCCTTCTCTCTCTCTTCATCCTCTTTACGGTTCATTGCACAGTACTGCATGAAACGTAAATTCTCTTCACGCATTTCACGCTGTTTAAAATAAATTCATTAGAATCACTGAGTACTCTGCCTACATTGAGGTAATATCCAGATCAAACCCCTTCAATAGTGCAATAAAAAGCTACAGTATGAGAGGAAGACGCTTGGTTCAATGAATGAGCATCATCACGTGTGTTCACCTTTCTCTGTGTTTCTTCTTTCACTTCATTTCTTGTATCATCCAAAAGTTTTTCTAATATTTTCATGTCCAGTGCAAGTTCTTCTTGCTTCTCTTTGGCCTAAAGAAAACGAGTAAAAAAAATCAATAAACAGCTTACAGAGGGCATGCGGAACCTTTGTAGTGAGAACCATTTCCTTTAAAACTACATATTACAGTACAGTTTATATATAACCTGATGCACTTTTTACCAGACGAATGACGCCAACGGCTGTCTATAGACAGTTCAATTTTTAAAGCCATTATACAATTAACCATTCAGTCTACAAAATTAATATAATTTGCAGTTAATTTAAAGACTGCAACACAGACTTGTCTAATTGTACTTATTACTAATTGTATTTGTATGACACAATGTAATATTTAAATAAATACATTGATGTGAACCAACCTCTTTTTCCTTCTTGAGTCTGATAGACACCTCTCTCGATCTTTTAGCTGCCTTCTGCTTGCGAAGCTTTTCTTCCTGTAGCCATTTTTCCTCCTCTGCTCTTAGCTGAGCTTCTTCTTTCAACCATTGTGCCTCCATCTCCTTCAGTTTCTCTTCATCTTCTCGCTGTTTTTCACAGGCTGCAATCTGAACTTGTAGAACCTGAAATATTCAAACATCCATAAAGATGAAAATTAGATAAACTCTCAATCCATTGGGTGAAATAAACACTTAATGATAGATCCAAAAACAACTTACTTTTAAAGTTTCTCTGTTCCTTTCAATCTGTTCCCTTGCAGTTTGCTCTTCTCTCATACTTTTAATCTGAATGTCTTCTGCCCACAAGTCGGCATAAAATTTATCTACTTCTAATTCCTTCTTCTTTTTCTCCTCTTTCATTTTCAATTGTTCATGGCGTTCCACAAAAACTTCATCTTGATGGCGCTGACTTAAAGTTGAGCGGAGCTCCTCACAATTATTTCTGAAAATCCAGAAACATAACTAATTAAGATGATAGATAAAAAGGATTTTCATAAATAGAGCTTATTCAAAGTTATAAAATCACTTTACAAGAAGCAACAATCTTTGGGCTAATCTCCTAATTATAACATGAATTATCACTTTCCTTGATTTCCATAGAGGTAAGGTTTTTTTTTTAGTTTTGAAGGTGCAGGTACTGTTTTCAGTATCAAGTTTTACAGTAAAATCTCTATTGTCTCTTTTACTGCATCTTGAGTCTGAATGACCAAAGAATCCTATGAAACTTTGATGAGTAACTAACTATGAGTTCATGCAAACAACCCTTTAGTTTATGATGCCATCTTATGATTCATGAACTGAGTAAGTACCTCCATCTCTGATCAAGCTTTTCATCCACAAGTTTCAGCCTTTCTTGTTCTCTTTTCTCTTTTAAAAACTTGGCTCTTTCTCTCATCTTTGCCTGCCTCTCAAGAGTTGTTTCTTCTTTTGCTTCCATTTCTTCGATGTACTGTTGCTCTTCAGCCAACAGCATTTCTTTCAATCTAAAGGAAACAAAATTTATTTAAAAGAGCACTACAAAATTAATAAATTTTTGACCAAAGGTTCTGGCACATTTACAGCTTGGAGTAAATCACTTTCAATAAAACAAAGAACTTTGGAAAGAAAGGATGATTGAAAATAACACCTCTAGCATAAGATGTAAATGTGAGATGCATTTATACTGTTAGGGGATGTTTAAATTACTATCTGAAAGAAATTTTTCGCTAAGTATGCTTTGCAATCAGCATTATCAAGCGAAAAAATTGATCCTCAGAGTTGGACTGCAATCAAAGAAGTAGCAGAAAGGAATTTATCAATTTACTACTTTCTACCTTGGAAATCAAATACAAATAAAAAGGGTCCATGAAAGCTAACACTTTAGTTAATTCTCACCTTTCTCTTCTATCCTCCAAGCTAAAAGTTCCTCTTTGCATTAACTTTTCAACCCTTCTAGCAATCGTATTGCTCTTTATTCTTTTATCTGTGGCTTTTTCCCATTCCGACTACAGCGATAACAGGAATAAAGAGGAAATTACATCTACATGCAATAGCAAACAAATTCAGTCTATAGTAAATACGTAGAGGAGTTACAATATTGCTATAGGTTTGGAAATTTTAAAAGAGCACAGCATTTGTTCGACATCAAGTTTCAAATGGTCGCCATACATGTTCATAATCCGATGATGAAACACAACTTACCTTTAGATCACAACTTTTCTGGTATTTCGTTTCAGCTATTGCTTGCTCCCTTAGTTCATCTTTTCTTCTTGTTTCAAGGATAAGATGTTCCACAGGTCTTTTGCTTGTCGGTTTAGCTCTCTACAACACACACAGCATCAAGAATTAAGCCATTTGTTCCCCATAAGATTGACATTCATAAGGCTATTTTTAATTATCAAAAATTACGCATTTTAGCAGTATCTTTCTATAAAACGCAGAGTAAAAATTTGACCTTAGTGTTTCATAAGTCCCGAGGAACTAAGTAGACAAAATGGCCCTGACATGAAATGCACGGTTACGCCTTTAAAATGGTAGAGATATCGTTACTTACGATAGCCACAGAATGAGGGGTAGGCCCTGTAAACTCCCTACACCTTCGGACATGTTGAACCATCATATTGACGGTGAATTATTCCTCTCAAGCGACTCGAGATAACGCCAATATACAACACTTATATAGTCTACAGCAGCTGAGTTGGCGCTTCGGTTGCTAGTCCCTCCTGTTGTCATGACTACCAAAGACCCAACACCAAATCGCCTCGATATCGTGCTGAATGTAAGAAAATGAAAAGACTAGACTCTAGTAACCAGTCTCCTCGAATCGTGCAATTTTCAAAATGGCGGATGAAGGTTCGCTCAAACCTAGAAGAGCGACTGTCGAAAGAAAAACAAAAGAAACAGACATTTCTTTGTCGGTCAACATAGATGGAAGTGGGGTAAGCGAGATAAGTACTGGCATTGGATTTCTGGACCATATGTTAACCGCTTTGTCGAAACATGGGCGAATGGATCTCACTTTGAGCTGCAAAGGTGATCTTCACGTGGACGATCATCATTCAGTCGAGGACTGTGGTATTGTTCTGGGCCAAGCAGTGAAAGCAGCGCTTGGTGATTTAAGAGGTATAACGAGGTATGGCTATGCCTATGCTCCTTTAGACGAGTCGCTTTCTCGAGCTGTTGTGGACATATCCGGACGACCCTTTGCCGACGTCAACTTGAATTTGCAGAGGGAGCGGATAGGGAACCTGTCCTGCGAAATGCTACCACATTTTTTGAGTTCCTTTGCTACTTCAGCAGCCATTACGTTACACGTGGACGTTTTAAAAGGTGAAAATGATCATCATAGGGCGGAGTCTGCTTTTAAAGCCCTAGCCCTAGCTCTGCGAACTGCATTTAAAAGAGAAGGAACTGATATACCGAGTACCAAAGGAGTGTTGTAAATTCCTTAATTGTGCATTTTCTCGAATTGTATAAGATCATTTCTGAAAAGTATCTGTATCGCTGTTAAACTAACGATGCGACAGGTATACAAGCCCTCAGGGTTTCAACAAACAATGTATTAAAATAATTGGTAAAAATTTCCGCACAGCCCTATACTATTGTAAAACAAATCTGTTTTCCCATTGGCAATGTATAGTTTTTGTCATTGTTTTCTCTATCCAAGAGCTGAATGCATAATGTTGTATGGGGCTGTGCAGAATTTCACCAAATAATTCTCTGTAATTGTTAAATATTTAATGCTGGTAATATTTCATTGTGCTTCTCTACAAGAAAAACACATTGATATCATGAAAAATTAGGTATTCAAAACGACATCAAGATCAGGGTTGTAGATAAGAGCCAGTAGCCGGCGAAGTACACCAGCTTCTCTGCAAGGTTTTGTGGGCTACTTTCATGGCTTTGAGAGCCCGTACAGAGATGATGTTTATCAGGTCTAAACTTGGGCTCAATAAAAATATAAATTTGCACTGCCTATCTTTTCTGACTCAAGGTTAGTTTAAAAACGTTCTGATGGGGACTGTCTTTTTGACAAATCTTGCTGCAGTGGCAGGAAAGTACAAACATATTGTCCGCCATATCGGATTTCAAGACCCACAACCATTTACCTTTAAAAAAAGCCCCAGCTACGTAAAACCTTAAAGAAACCCTGCAAGATGATCTGTAATTAAATTCAACATTTTCTTTCACTTCATCACAACAGTGAGCCTTCAAAGCCAAGTTCTCATAAGTATGACTAATAACCATGGAAACAGTTTTTGTACACTCATAAGCCATAGTTGGTTTACTTGCATTTCAAACTCCCCGGCCCAGACCACAACTTTAAGTAAACCTGGCCTTTTCAGTGGCTTTGATTAAATAATCCCCTTTTTAACAGGTTAGTGTAAAATACCCAATGCAAATCAATTCCAATCCATGTTCCCTTCCCCATACATATCTCCAGTGAACAGAATGACAGACAGACAGGGTGAAATACCATTCAAAAGTAAAATTGATAAATGTAAGGTCCTATCATCACTTTTTTTGTACTTTTGACCAATAATCAGCCTTTGAAATTGAAAAACTTCCTCATTTTTTTCACCATTTACATGACAGCCATGTTTTCTGTGGCTACTGTAACTATTTCCAGTGGTTAAACACAAAATATTCACCCAAATACAGCTTTTTTGACCATTTTTCTATGTCATCCACTTTTACTCGAACCTGACCAGAGGGTGGCTCATGCTAGAGCAAAGTAACAACACCTCGCTGGCCAGAACCAGTGCATGTTGACAGCTAAACCCCATTTAAACTTCTTTGTTTGTAACTTACTCACTTGATGGCTTTGAGAGAAAATATCAAACAAATTCACATCACACACATTGCTGGAGGAAGCAATCTGAAAGACTGGTCAATCTTTCATGGAAAAGAAATGCCTTTAACACAACAGAGAGGATAGTAGTTGCAATGTTGAGTCTTTATTCCAAAGCCTATCATAAAGGTACTTAAGATTAAAGAACAATGCTTCCAGTTTATTACAAAAAAAAAAATTCCCAGTTCTTTGTTATCCCCACTGGCAACAGAAACAGCTTTAGGTGCCTCAACATAAGCCCAGCTTGGACAGTAAGTTTCAGATTCTTCCATGCTTTGTTAAGATCCATTGAGTTAAAACATTGATTTTATAATCAACCAAGATTACTCGGTATTGGCAATAAACAGAGAAACACATGTTTTTCTTCAACTCCTTCCAAGTTCCTCCTCAAGTACTCCTTTTTCAAGTTCAAGTTGCTTCAGTTCTTTACTGAGTTTTAGGATTTGGTTTTCAAGTCCTTTAATCCTGCAAAAAAATAATAAATAAATGATAACTAATTACTTCACCACTTAAAGCATCATAGGTGTATGTGGTCTAAATTGATTCTTTATAGCATTAATGAAAAAACACAAAGGTACACCAAGGGAGTTTTCTACTACACCCTAACCCTTGATTAGTTGGCCTTTGTACAATATTTTACTACATCCCTCAGCTAGCGTGAGAGCCAAAATCATTCACTTAAGTAGGTCATATTTTGCTGTACTGCCCAATAAAATCAAAACTTTTATATTTTGATGAAATCTCCCCCTCTATTTGAACCGAGACATATAATGAATGACCTACTAACCTTGATTTGTAGGTGAGTGTTTTAATTTATGGAACCTTGTTTTATCCCCCCAGATTTCTGGCATCCTTAGCACTACGGCCATAAACCCAAGCAAAAAAAACTTGGTCTGTAACTTATAGTGAGGGCCCCAAACTCAGTTAGAGACATTTACACGAGGTACTTAGATACTTCTGTGGGAATAGATTATTAGACTTGGTACTTCTGTTTGATTTTACCTAATTTTTCTCTCTAGCTTTTCCTTTTCCTGGTTCAAACTCAGCGTCTTTATCATCTCAGCTCGCGGCAATTCCAAGGTCCTTTTCAGGTTGTTCTCCTTTTGGATCAGTTCTTCTCTTTCCTGCCTACACGTTTGTGGATCTTCCTGATTAAATTGTTCTTTACCTTCCATCTCCTGCATAGCACTTTGCCAGGTCTTAGCGCTTGAGTGTACTTGTATATCACTACCCTCTGATCCTGATCCTGATCCTGAGTAAGACAGCAGCTGTCTTTCCCTGGAAAGACTGGAGGAGGACCCTCCTGAGTGATAAAGACGTACCTCAAGAGATTCATTGCTTGCTGATGAGGATGCTGAAGGGGAGCGTGAACCATGAGGCACACCACTGGTTAGACCCCATGAATAAGGCTGGTGCCTCTCAGGAGGTGGAGGCAGGTACAAATTGTCTAAAGACTGTCTACCAGTCATACTGTTGTGACTCCCAGGTACAGACACAGTGTCCATCCAGTCTGGTTCTGTTCCTGTTGGGCTTTCTTCCCAATCTGAATGGACAGATTGGTTATCAGCATTGTGATCCACTGTCTTCTCTTGTGTTGGCCATCTTGAAACTTGATGACCTGTCAAAAATAACAAAAACAATTCGCAAAAACTGTTAGCATGTGTATAACATAATTTTCCGAGAAAAAAACCACTATTATAATGAAAAAAGAGTTCATTAGCATTCCTAAAATTCAAGATTTCAATGAATCTTCCCATCTGTCCAAACTGCAACCAAACTCCTATAATCTCCAAGATGAAATGGCACTTGATCTTCAACAGTGCCATAAAATCAAGAAGAAAATGTTATCAAAGGGTTTATGGCAATGATTACTTTTTTTCTATCGAAGTACTCCAAGTTACTAAATACCTATACAGTGACTGTTAAATTCAAATCATGCAATATGTTCCTATTTTTCTTTAGTTCTCTTTCCATGTACGATGCTGACAGACTCTGAAGTATGGTTAACATTTGAGACATCAGCTTTAGAAACTCTTCACAGCAGCCAATTTACACTATCAAGTCAGTAAATAGAACCAAATTACCTTGTACTGTCCCCCCCCCCACCCAGCAATACAGCACCACAGTTTGTTTAAAAATTTAACTCCTCTTCTCTACAGTTGTCGACCATCTGAGATACAATTTGCAAAGTTATGTCTGATGATGGAGCTGACAACAGGGAAAAATTTTTGCCAGAATGCAAACATAAGTCTTGCTTTGCAAGTTAGAATTCCAGATTAAAGTACGTCATTTATACACAAAGTAAATCACTCTAATTGAATTACTTGTGATGTGATGACTGTTGATGCTTTCCCCAGATGACAAACTAGAGGCATCAGATCCTTGCGATTTGAAATTTGCACAGAAAAGAGAGCATAAAGACTCATCTAACTGAATCCCCTGCATTTTCAATAACTGAACATTGAGACTCGGGCCGTCAGATTGGAAGAGTTCAACCAAAAGTACACCATCCTCTCGCCGCTTTACCACTGATGCTTGAAGTGGCTGAAACACAAAACACAGAGCATTTTTTGCTGGATAAACCCTTACAACCCAACAACATTATGCAAGTTATCTATACTGTTCTCTATACATTTCTTATGATGCTTACTAAGAGAATTTGTCTAACAGTCAAGAGCTTCTTGATTTTGAGATCATTTCCTTTATTCTCATGACCTTAATGTTTGATTCAGAGGTGGTAATGTTAGGAGAAATTAGATGCTTGTCACTGCGAGGGATAAAAGGGTTAAGAGAGATGGAATCATGAGAAAATCGAAATAGAAACATCATGAGATTTTCAACTGTTAAGTTTCTGATTTCTATTGATGGCATCCTTCAAGCTAAAAGCAATTTTTCACAAAGGGTAATTAAAAATGTGTCACAATGTTTTTTTTTTTCTATTATTTCATTCCAAGGGTTTAGGAAAGGAAGGATATTTTCATATATATAATCATAACAAATTCTGAAAGGGCAGAAATTTCAACAACTAAAAAATAACACAACATGCATGACAATAACTACAAAGTAGGTTGACAACAATAGGAACCAATCAAAACAAAAAGCACATAGTAAGTGTAAAACGCCTTATCCTGTTGTGTTTGCAACCTTTACCAATTTGCCCCCACCCTCACCATGTTGCTTTTTACAGCTATGATGTGCAATTACCTGTTTCCTTTCTTTAACTTCCTTTAACTTATTCACAGCCATTACTGGGAGAATCGTCAGGGCAGAATCTCTTTGCAGCCCTGCAAGATTTGCCTTCATAACGTGAGGAAGCATATCCTTTAGGCTCTGAGGCAATTCGCATAAGCTACTTAGAGGCACTGTGAAATACCATCCATAGTCAATACTCTGAACCTTCACCTAGAGGAAACAGAACAACACAATCAACCCTCAAGGAAATACAACCATTTTAGTTTTCATTTCATCAAAAACACTGACCACTTTGACTGTGCCTCTAACAATGTAACTTACTACATAATTTGCACTCTTGGCAATAAGCATTATACCAGAGAGATACGAAGAAGACAAGAAGATCACTTTTCTTAAGCATCTGAGCTAGAGAACTCCATAGTTGGCTAAGCCGACACAGAACGGCAGCAAAATGAGTGTGCATGCTCCACTACTAATGCCATTAGAGCGTTCAGGGCACAGTTGTCCAAAGGCCGATTAGCACTAAACCAGGGTTAAATTCTAATCCAGGTTTCTTTCTTCTTTGTTCAAAGCCTTTTTAGCACAATTTTCCTTCTTTTTAGAGTAGCCAATTATCAACTTGTGAACAAAAATAATTTGTGGATTTTTGTGGATTTTCTCTCAGAGCTTTCAGATCTGAAATCAAAATTCACACTAACCCTGGGTTATCTTAAACCAGCTTTGAACAACCTAGCCCAGGCCCAGGTTGTTCAAAGCTGCGTTAAGGTAACTCAGGGTTAGTGTGAAATTTGATTTTTCAGTTAGAGAAAATTCAGTTCAAATCTTTTTGCTTGCAATTTGATCATTGGATGTTCTAAAAAGAATAGTGAAAATTTTCCCAAAGAATTTTGGACAAAGAAATAAAGAAACCTGAATTAAAATTTAACCCTGGGTTAGGGCTAATCAGCCTTTGAACAACTGGGCCATAGGCTGCAATTCTCCTTCTACAAACTTCGGCTGATGCAGGTTTTTCCACTGAACAAACATTTTCTCCACAGGGTTTGCCAACAGAAGAGACGATGACAAGAAGCTCTAAAGCAGTAACAGGTGCCACGAACTTTGTAGCCATGTTATGGCTGCTTAACTTCAGTCACTAAATTCATACTTATTACCACATCTTTTTTTTTTCTGTTGAGTGAGATGTGTGATTAGGGAGGTTCGACAGAAACTTTCCTGGAAATGGCAAACTTACCTGTTTTGGTTTGGGCTTGCAAAATGAAAACATCAGTGGAAATGTCAAAAATACTGTCATTTTGCCTCAATATGGAAATATTGTTGTTCTTATTCCTTTGCATGTATTGATATCTCTTGCAGTTTACAAGCATGCGCACTCAATTTGTAGCTGTATCAGCTCTGTCATGTATACTTAGTTCATATCTTACATGCACCCTGCTATGAGCAGTACATGTGTTCCCTAAACCATTGAGTGTGTAATAGGTAAGATAGTACAACTTGAATAGCAGCAAAAATGTTGCTTTTTGTGGTTGGTGTAGGAGAAGTAAATTCATTAGAACAAGGAAATCATATTAGAAAAATGAGAAGAAAGACACATACCCTATCCACTCCAATCCCAGAACCAAAAGGAACTGATACAATTTTGACCCTGAAGCACCTTCCAGTTTCCTTGACTGTCACTACAATATCACCAATGCGAGGGTAGATCTGAGAAAAAGTACCAGAACATGAATTTCTACTGAATTCCCTGCCACCAAAATCATTATCAAAACAATTTCAAGGTCCAATCAGATCCAAGAAAAATGACCATAATAGGCCAATGCAAATTTTATGTAGGAGGTGCAAACAACCTGGTAAGCAGAAAAATGTGACAGGCCATGTTGCGACAGGCATCTGACTGCTTAAGAAGGCAGCGTGAGTTTTCTTTATCAATCACAAAGCTAAGTAAAGTAAAACCAATGCAATCTCTGAAAATGATCTGGAGACCATCAAAGAAATGACATTAAGAAACTCCTACAGTCTTACCTTGGCAGCTACATTCGTTTCAGAGTTAATCACCCTTGTCATGTATCTAAGCTGCTCTAGACTGTTATTATCAGACTTATAGAAGTATATTGCATCAAAGGATTCAATCTGCAGAGAAGCAAACATTTTACAAGAACTTCATGAAATTATTCAGTACTGAAGCGAATGAGTACAGATCACCGCATCAAGCAATTCTGGAGTTTTAATTGACTGGGCCAACATAAAATATGAGTCCTTTTACCATATTTACCACTAGATAATGACAAGTAATGATTGAATTAGAGAACAAACTAATAGCTGAAAAAAGAAAAATGGAACGTTCTGTGACAAATAAAAAAAAATCTAAGAGCCAGGAACTGAAACAAGTTTGTGATCAAAATAAAACTTCTCTATATACCATAAATTCATTAAAAAGCAAACAGATGTTGAGTGTAAGTTTTTGCTGCATTAGCGAGGAGTATAACAAATGTATGTTAGTAAAGTAGATTGACCACCATGATGAGTAACTAAAGATGATGTTTCAAGCGTTAGCCCTTTGTCAAGAGAATGATTTTGAGGCTGTTTCCTCATCTTACTACCCAATTCCCACCAGTAATTTAACAGGGAATATACTACGACATGAAGAATTACAATTAAGATCATGGGGGTTGGTGACTTACATGTGACAGTGTAACTACCATGACTTCTTTCTTCTCAAACAACTGGTAACTGGGGTAGTGCTGTTGTTGCTGCAAAGTCTTAGGCAGAGATTTTTCCATTGTTTCTACATTTTGGTTTGAAATAGAACACTGGCCATTCTCATGTACATTATGAGGTCTTTGATTCAATTTCTGGGACAATTTTCCTTGACTACTCCATGAGGGCTGTATGGTTTGCTCTATTTTTTGATCCATAGGCTTTCGCACTGGGTTTGGAAATGAATCAACAGTGTGGGTATCCTTTGTAATTTGCGGTCTAACGTACAAGGGCGCTGGTTCTTGTCTTTCTGACTGCTGTAGCTGGGTCGAGAATGTTGGATTTGATTCCATGTTCATTTTGCTTTGGATTAATCCTGAAGCTCCTTGAGTTTCCATCCTTGCCTCTCGTACATATCTTGTCAATGCCATTTGCTCATTTACTTGTAAATCCCTTCCATTGTCATCTTTGACAAAGAGTTCCACCTCAATGACATGAGGCTACATGTCCCACAATAAAATAAAACAAACATAGTAAAATGTATTGAGCGGTATTAACATGAGCTGAAAGGAATCATATGCTTGTCACATATTGAAAAGGCGGTTGGAATCAATGCAAACAAAACTGTATGGGAAATGATCTCAAGGGAAAGTAAAACTACTTCAAGCTTTTAGATACCAAGAATATAATCACAAGAAAAATATGATAAGGGTATTCGGAAGTTTCACCCCATTGCAAGTTTACCCCCTAACACCTCTTTGAGTTCACCTCCAAAAGAAGAGCAAGTTCACCTCCACCTTCACCAATTCACACCCACCTTCACCAGTTTGCCTGCAACCTCACCAGTTTGCTCCAACCTTCACCAGTTTGCCCCCACCTTCAACAATTCCCCTCCACCTTCACCAATTTGTCCTTGCCTTCACCAAGTTGCCTTCACTTTCACGAGTTCGCACCCACCTTCACCAATTTGCCTCCACCTTCACCAATTCACCCCCACCTTCATCAAGTTGCCTCCACCTTAACCAATTTGCCCCCACCCTCACCATGTTCCCTCCACCTTCACCAATTTGCTCCCACCTTCACCAAGTTGCCTCCACTTCACCAATTGGCCCCCACCTTCACCACATTGCCTCCACCTTCACCAATTAGCCCCCACATTCACCAAGTTGCCTCCACCTTCACCAGTTAGTCCCTACCTCCTCCAGTTCGCCCCCAAATGTTTAAACTTTTTACTTCTGAGAGCAAACTCCCTATCAGGGGGAAAACGTGCAATGAGGAAAAACCTCCACAAACCATAAAAAGTGGTTCAAATAATGGGCAAGTTTGAGTTCACCAAGGTTGGTGTTATCATGAGTAGTCCGTATTCACAGAAGAGTGAAAGACTGAAGGAAATTTTACAGGCCTTTGATAAGTGTAAAGTTTTTATTTAATTAATATCGCTTTATGATGCTTCAAGTTATTTACAGACAGTAACATTTGGTTACCTGATTAGCATCTGATGAGCAACATACTCTTGCTGTGCACACTTTATTAATGATCAAAGCACTCAAGTATTTTGAGCCTTCATTAATTATCTCAGGTGACACATCTGTTGCGACCTCAATACCTACAAGAACACACCATGCAAAATATTGTTAGAGGTTTTATTTACTTAGCACAAGTTGAAAACACTCTAAACTCACTGCAAACAAAATAATAGTCTACAGAATATAACTGTTCAAAGTTCCAGCCATTGAGAGGCCAACGTTTTGGTTATGGCCTACATAGCTGAAAGTTTTGAGTGCCCTTTATGGTTCTATATTGTCGGAATTCTGTCACAAGCCTCCCATGAATTCCCTGCTCATCGCCTTGGCACTAACATAAATGCCACCTATGCAGGCTATTTGACATATCATCCCTTTCACACCCAACTCTCAGTATCAAATGTATTTCTTATAGTTGTAACTCCAAGAATTTGTTGTTAAATAAAGCAATATCCCCTTATTGATATTTTACTGGTAACCAGTCAACTCGCCGACGGACCAACTCGCCGACGCTAACTCGCCGACGTATAAATTCGAGTAGAGACGTCGGCGAGTTGGTCGTCAATCCAGTACAACTTATTAGAAGTTAAACATACAGAAAAGTAAACGATATTTAGTAAAAAAACACTGGTGAACATTGGTGAACACCAAACAGAAGCTTAAACATCGGTGAACATTGGTGAACATGTTTTCTTAAAATATCTGAGCGATTGACATGACGAGTCTTTACGGTGTTGTTGTCACACAATAACTCGTTCGCGTCTGAAGCTGTTAGAGTCACTGGCGATGTTTACTTTACTTTGTTCGCCTTGAGATCCTTATAAACTTCGTTGCAAATAAAAATAATTGCTTTTTACTAAAGATCTTGTCTAGAAAGCCAAGTTTTCTTTAAAAATCTGACCAATTGTCATGACAAGTCTTTACAGTGTTGTTGTCACACAATAACTCGTTCGCGTTTGAAGCTGTTAGAGTCATTGGTGATGTTTACTTCGCTTTATTCGCCTTGAGATCCATAAACTTTGTTGCAAATAAAAAGAAATGCTTTTTACTAAAAGATCTCGTCTAGAAAGCCAAGTTTTCGTTAAAAAATCTGAGCGATTGACATGATGAGTCTTTATGGTGTTGTTGTCGCACAATAATTTATCTCGTTCGTGTCTTAAGCTATTCTAGTCATTGGTGATGTTCACCAATGTTCACCAATGTTTAAGCTTCTGTTTGATGTTCACCAATGTTCACCAGTGTTTTTTTACTAAATATCGTTTACTTTTCTGTATGTTTAACTTCTAATAAGTTGTATTGGATTGACGACCAACTCGCCGACGTCTCTACTCGATTTTATACGTCAGCGAGTTGGCGTCGGCGAGTTGGTCCGTCGGCGAGTTGACCGTAATTCATTTTACTAAATCTTCTCATCATCTGTCTGGTTGATAGAGTATTGATACTGTAAAGTGAATTTGTTTGTTGGTCACTCAAGGGAGCAAATGGTGAAATGCTACAAGGGTTGAACTCAGAACTATCAAAAGAGCAACACAGTTGAGCAACAGAGTCCAGAATTCTGGACCTGTAGATGTCAGACATTGTATATGCAGCTGCCCTAAACCACACACCATGCAGCCTCCACAACAATAAACCTCTCCAACGTATTATTGATACACTCAATCTCCATATGTGCTCTATACATTTCTTATGGTATTAAATGGAATGTTTTGTCCAACAATCAAGAACTTCTTTAGTTTACAATCAATTTCTTCATTCTCACAAACTTAATGTTATATTCAGAACTGATACTGTGAGGAGGAAAGAGATGCTAGCAGCTCTTAGAGGTGAGCACTTCAACCCCTAAGAGTGACTGACTTCTAATTTCTCTTTACAGTATCCCCCGTGAATCAAATACATTATACATGTAGTAAGGTCACGAGAATAAAGGAAATGATCACCAATTCAAGAAACTTTGATGGTTAACAAATTTTCTTTGTCAGTGCCAGAGGAAATATAAAGAGAACAGTTTGGAGAATATGAACACCAATGTAAGGGTGTAAGGAGTTTAATGGCTAGGTTTGTATGGGGCTGTTACGATGGGAGGTGACCTACTGGGAAAACCTTTTAAGTGTTATGATAACCATGCACTATACATTTAAAATTACACTAAAAAAGTATGCAATAATCAGAAAATTTCATTACAATCCTTTCACACATGCACCTTTACGCATAAAGTTTGTACCTGCAAGCTTGAATGGCACTGCCTGAGGGGCAAGGTCCCAGAATCTTTTGTGTATGTCTGTAAACTGGTCCCAAGATATCCATTCACAGTTTCCATAATCAAGATAAAAAACTTTTGCTTGCTTTTGGTCCATTTTTGTTACTTCTAAACACCAACATCTGTAAAAATAAGGTATTATTACATTCAAAGGTCATTTTTAACTTTTAATACAACAGTTACTATTTGAATTTACAACAACCTCCACAAGAATGCCTTGTTGAGCATGATTAAGACACAAATGAATGACAAAGAAAAGAACAAAAGGCAAAAAAAGCTTAAAGTATGATTGTTAGATTTACATATTAGGTTAACCTGTTCATTGGCACTGAGCTTTTCCCAATTGCTGCACATACACATACAAGTAATTGGAGCTGTGTCAACTTGTAATCATAGATCATTGTGGATGTTTCTTGGGGTTGTTACATATTCATACATTTTTTCTCAAATCACCTAATAACTCAAAAAGATGCCAGAAATTGAATAAACACAGAAATTACAAATTGGATAATTATTTTTGATCTTTTTAAAAATCACTGATATCAAAAAACTTGTGTACAATGAAAAGATGACTTAGCAGTAGTGTTTGCTATTTGTGTGGTGTACTGTAAAATAAAAGTAACTGAGTGAGCAGAAACACCAACAAGGAAATTCATTTGACTGATTCAGTATTTACCTGTACCAAAGATTGTCTTCTGAAAACATTGCTGCACCCAGCTGATGCTTAACAGGCATACATCGCTTATAATGCTCCACAATCTGAAGATCAGTCCTAATTTGTTCAAGTTCCTTATAACTTCCACTCTAAAATAGAAATATTTATATAACAGATTACAATTCAAAATGACTAAAATGAAACACACATGATTCATTTTGACTGTATTTCGCTCTACACTCATGTGTATTGAGCACTTTCCAACAGCATTTGCTACAATTTCCCACAATTATATAACAGATTATAAATTAAGACAAACTTTCCTCTTGAGCTAAATCCTGTGGTTAGAGAAAATTTTCATACTTTAGGATTGGGTCTGGAGGTCACAAATTAAGCCTTGAAAAACTTGCTGGACAGAGATGACATATCTCTCATAATGGACTAATTACCAAAGACGTTGGCATTTAATGGATTACGACAATGCAACTTAGATTCCTTTTCCATCAAACCTTGGATATCTTAACATTCCTGTTAACCTTTTACACCTCAACATTACTGTACATCTTCTCCATTCTCAATACATTTCTTCCAGCAAAAACAAGGAGAATTTGCTTAACAATCAAAAGCTTCTTAGTTTGTGATCATTTCCTTTATTCTTATGACCTCAAATATGTGATTCATAGGTGATATAGATCAGGGCTCAAAATTGCGACTGATACAGTTGCCAATGCAACTAAATCTTATAACTTGGCGACAAAAATTTCAAGTTTAGTCGCCACTTTGACGACTATGTTCCTCCGATAAATAAAAGATTAAAGGTGAGAAACAATTTCCTCAGTCTTTTTTCTGCTTTTCTGCAAAAGGAAATGCAAATTTAGTCTGTTTACCTTTAGGGTTAAAACTTAAAATCACTTCAAGATCACGACTTCTGAGACAACAGTACAGCAGCTTCTACATGGTGACCGCGGGTGTAATATTTTGTTGAAAGGCCACTGAATTTAAAAGTGTTCTGTAGCAGATTCTGTCACAAGGAGCCAGCTTTCAGAGTAGGAGCTTTCTTTCACCATGTACGCAATCAAGTGAGACGAGTCTACACCGAAAGTCATGAATTGTTTATCACAAGAGAAGGATACACTGAGGAATTTTTCATAATTTGCTGCAGTCTTGAAATTACCAGGAAGCAAGATCGTTGTTAGTATGCAAACAAGAAGCGTTTCAAATTCTTTCAAAAAGGTTTGTTTGGAGCATGAATCTCATGCAGCAGCTACCGGAGGATGTTTTTGCAATGTGTTTAGTTCCAGAAGCCAAACAACTATGTCAATTAAATTGGGCTCTAATCTGAGCTTCTATTCTTGTACTATCCGGCGACTGAATTTTTGCATTTGGCGACCATTTTTATTTGATAGTCACCAAAAGGTGACTTGGAAGTTTTTTTAATTTTGAGCCCTGTGGATGGAAGAAATTAATAAAACGCTATTCATTCTTAAGGGTTAAAGGGTTAAAGAAACTTGAAATAAAGGCCTAACAGCAGGTGAAGTACCGGTGTATTTCTTTAACCCAGAGAACATGAAGCTGCAGTTGTTGCACTAGAACAACGTTTGACTACAATGCAGTAACTAAGAGGTTCAAGACATAAAAGCTCTACTGTAACAACAAGCAATAAACCTTTTCCCACCTTGTCATCAATGTTGGCCCAGAAGTGGCAAGAGTCAACAATATCAGTCACAAGAACTTTAAACTCCTGAGCTTTGATGTCATCCATGGTTCTAAGTGGTTTCTTACACTTCAAGAAGAGTTCATGCATCTCTGAATGTGTTAAAAGAATATGCCTGGGTCCTTTTTCTTCAGTAGCAACTGAAATCTCTGGTTTTCTAGTAGGACCAGAGTTGCCTTTTTCAACACTAGCCATAGAAGAAGAGCTGATCTTTACACTTTCCTCAAGTTTCTGATTATATATTGTTCTACCATTCTCTTGGTTTTGTCCAACACTTCTTTCACATGATCCTTTCAATCCATTGACAAACAAACCAGAGCCATCTCTCTTGCTGCTTCCTGAGCCAAGTGCACCATCAGAGAAGCTATTATATGTGGGTGATTGAGACCCCATGGCATTGCAGCTAGATACAGAGCTCTTACTAGAAGTAAGTGATTGCTCCATGGTACCCACTGAGAGAGTAAATGAGGGCACAAAAGGATCAACAATGAGTAATGAGGCACTAAACACCAGTAAGCTTTTATTAAAACGACCATAAATAAATGCTTTGCAAATTGAAGTTGGGTTCCAGAAACATCCTGATGGAAAATATCACCAACCCAGCAATGAACTCTCCCACAAAAGGGAGAGGGAGCCAACCAGGGCTCTTCTCTAGCAGAGTGCATGTGCCACAGGGGACTGACTTTGGCTTAAGGTAACTTGTAACTTGTCTTTCCACTTGCCACAGTGGAAAGAGGAAAGGGAAGGAGGGTGGTAGTCTACAAGAACAGCCCCCTCAAGAATGCTAATAATAATAAAAACTCTATTAAATACATTTAAACAGCAAAGGGAATTCTCCTGCATACACAATTCTCTGTTCTGGAAAGACTGATTGCATCAAATTGTATCATTTGCCTCCTCTGCTTCAAAATACTAATTAATCTTATTGACTTATAATTTACAGTTTTGCAAGAATTCATTTGAACTGCAGAAAGGAAATGAAATGACGAAACAGTTCTTAGAGTCATGTCTTTGTTACACTTGTTTTCAAGGCCCAGTGCAAGAAAGATCAAGTGGGCAGGTACCCAATTACACCCTTAGGAATGAAGATGGAGCAGTGCCCTCAACAGACACTATGAACTTCTCACCTACTAAGTTGTCTTGCTGCTTGGCTTTGCCTTTCTGTTTTTTAGGAGTGATTGTAAGTGTCTTATCCCCTATTTTTGTACCTCTCAATTTTTCTAAGGCAGCTACAGCTTCATCCTTTTGTGCAAAGTAGACAAAGGCATATCTGCAATTAAATTTAACAAAAACATTTGAAAAATGGATACAAGAGACAGAACTACAATTTTCTTTCCTTCAGTGAATGTGAATAGCAGGGACATATACCAATTTTGGTAAAAAGTAAACAATGGCACCAAAAAAAATCTTCAATTTGGCCCAAGGCTGTGATAAAGAATGATGCTCTCAAGCATGGGGCAACAAAACAATGAAACAATTCAAAGGTGATACATACCAGCATTTGTACGATTGATAACTCATTAAAATACAAATAAATTTTCAACATGTAGTTTTTTTTTTTAAATCTCTTGATCCCCGATGGTAACTTTCACTGAAAATTTTAGTTCACTCACTACAGCTCCCCTACAAAAGGTATTGCTAATTTCAATAATTAAACAAAATTTATCATACATCAATAAAAGATAAACAATTCCAACATGTTGGGTTCATAAACATGTACTTACTTCTCTTTCATTAAAATTTGCACTACTTTTCCATGTACACTGAAGATTTGTTTGAGTGATTCCTAGAGAAAACCAAAGAACTAATAGTGATCTTTATTTAAGTAAAGACAGATACACAATGAAAAAATACATTACAATGTAAATTTTAAAAATGTCAGTTTAATTATTACTTTGGGATCCCCCAAAAACCAACAATTTCCCTGCTGTCACCAACTTACTCTTTCCAAACAAAAATACCTTTTTTAAGTGAACTGGTTTTCCTAAATAATTACTACATTGGAATGGCTATAAGCAAATCATTCCGAGAAGAATTCTTATGAAGAGTAACTTGTTATCAACAATTATTTCTGTAAGTTAAAATCATTCAGTAACATGAAGCTTTCATCATTATTACAAATAGTAAATTCCCTGGCTTGAAACAACATTTAGGACTAATTGCATTTTTCCTTATGTTGAAAAAATTTCTCCAAGATCATTTCTCAATAAATTAACCCTTCAACTCCCAAAAGTGATTAACAAATGACTTCTCCCTATAATATCTAAACATTATCGAGCAAATAGGTCATGAGAATATTCAAACTTATCAGGTAGAAGTTGTTTTCCTAATTTACAAGGAAATGTGTATTATCTAGAGTTGAGAATTAACAATCAGATCTTTGGAGTTAAAGGTTAAATTCCACTGTACCTGTGTCGTTCCTGCTGGAAAATTGCTCACATGAATGGGATATCCCCTGTTTTCCTTTATCATAGCTATCACAGAATTTTCTTGACCATACATTTTCTTTTTCTCTCCTGCCGTTCTCATTGATGACAGAGCACTTTCCGTTTCCCAGCTTTCTTCAGACAAAACTGTTTTCATTTCCCTTGGCAATGACAAAGGACTCCTGTAGGGAACACTACTACTAGGTTCTGTAACAACAGCATCTTCACTCACAAAACCATTTGTGGTTACAGAATTTTTAGTGTCTATCTTTGGTTGTTCCTTTCTGTCTTTCATTAATTTTGCATTCTGAACAGAGTTCCGTATAATGGCTGGATTAATGTTCAACACAGAGTCACGTAATTTGTAACCATTCAAGTCACTCATTGCTTGGACAGCATCTGCATGCTTGGAAAACCTCAGAAATGCAATCCTAAAAATTTGATTTTTATCATAATGAAAATGAGAAAAAAAATAACTATCAGTAGAACCTGAAAGTATTATACTTAACACTAGAGATAAAGCAGAATTTGCCAAGTACTATAATTCCTGTATTTAAGCCAGCTCCTACTACTTCTCAAGGAAAGGAAAAAATTATTTTTAGAAAAGCAGGCGTTTATTTGTCAGTGCTGCACTGCTTGGCATATTATGCACCAAAGTAACAGGAATCATTTCAGAGAGAAATAATTATTATGTTTCAAAAGGTTCTGATTTGCTCACATTAACTTTCATTTTCTGCATTGCTTACATTAACTTTCATTTTCATTTTTTTGTTATTAGTGAATCTTCAGTCTCTTATAGGTTACTATTTATCGCACATTATGTCAAAGTATTATCAGCACAATACAAATTGTATATGTATAAGGAAATGCCACAAAGCAGGCCTTGGCAGACTTTTTATGAAATTGGAAACAATCTCCCCTGCTACCAAATATACACAAACATAGCAATGATTAGAGCTGATGTGCTCCACTGACAACCAACCTGTTAGAATTTTCTATCTTCACTTCCTTTAAACTTTTAAAATGCTTGAAAATATCCCTCAGTTCACTCTGCAAATATAAGTAGAATTTAGAAAGCCAGATGAAAAAAGAACCAAAATTAAAATCACTCACTTACAAAAACAGAAATAATCAGCGAGAAAAATTCAACCATGTCAAATTGTGTAAGAGAATCCTGAAAATCTCCTGCGTAAAACTTTCAGTCTGATCTTACAAAGAGGTAAGACTGTCTTAATACCACGAACTTAGCTTCGGCAATCCATACCCTCCACAACAAGGCTAACAACTTTTTCTCATTAACCCTTCAACCCCTAAGAGTGTGACTAACAACTAATTTCTCCTTATAATATCACCTTTGAATCACATTTCAAGGTCACAAGAAGAAAGGAAATGATCACCAACTAAAGAAGTTCTTGATTGTTAGACAAATTCTCCTACTCAGTACCTTAGGAAATGTATGGAAAACAGTATGGAGATTATGTATGAAGATGTAAGTCAGGGTGTAGAGGGTGAAGTCTCGGGCCTGTATTAGATTTGTGGTACGTGGGAGCAAACCAATAGGGGAGCTACAGAAATCTGATACACAGCTGTTAGCAGGAGTTAACCCCCTGCTTTTTCCATCATCCACTTTTTTTTGTTCCTCTCCATAAAACGACTACGTAGGTTTGGCTGATAAGGACTTCAGTCTGGTTAGTGTTCAAAAAAACTTTCATTATAACACTTCGCCTGAAAATTTTACAACTGAAAAGTACACTGGTTGAAATATTGACTCAACAACTTGGCTCATATCTCTGCAATCAGAAGGGAAAACATTATGTGCCATTCAACCCTTCAACTTGCATGAGTGACCATTAGACAGAATGTCTCCTTACAAAATCAACACAATATCAAACAGACAAGGGATGAGAATATAGAAAAATATCACTTTGGGGATTATAAGTTGATCCAAAACCAAATTATTTGAAATAGCATCACAAGAATTGTGTAGAAGACAGTAAGAAGAATATGGATCTTAGCAGTAAAAGGGTTAAATGGAGAGAGGCAGGTGAGACAACTAAAAGTAAATTTATTGTATACAAACTTACCTCTTGACAATTTAATGGCAAATGCCCGATATGAATCCCGTATAGCCCTTTAAAGTTTGGTAAAATGTCTTTTTTTTGGTCTGAATCTACCGTCACTTTCAAGGAAGCTTTATCGTGTACAACAGTTCGGTCTTTTGATTTGCTCCTCTTGTTTCGAGGCCACTCTGAAGGATGCAGAGGGTTAAGTCCATTTGGGACACCTTCGGCCTTCTTTGCATGTTTGGAGATAAACACCCCCTTTTCAGGAACTCCAAACACTTTATTTTCTCCATCCTTTACGGAAAATTCCAGCCTTGCAACGTCTGGGATAGCCAGCAAAAATTCATAGAGGTCTTGGAAGCCATACTTTTTGAAATCAAGTTTTGAGTTTGTCAACTGATGATAATCTTTCTCTACCCTCGTTTGCTTGATCCCCTTTATACTAGATAACAACACGGACCTTAACGATATCTTAACTGACTGAGGCACTTCTCCAGCCATTGAAAACAACAAAGTCCGTGGAACATGACCTGGTGATTAGCTTTTCCAAAACAATCAAGGCTACTGTTGTAGACTGTTGCAGAGCGTACACACGACCATGTGCCTCAGCGGCTATCATATAAATACCAGGCGCGTTTCTAAGATCACGGTGATCAAACGTGCATGCGCAAATGAGTCAGTTTTGGATAGCGATAAATTTCAGGGAAACGATGTTATGTCACGCAAAAGTCACGATAAGAATTTTAATTTTTTATCAAACAAGTTACACGCTTTTTTGAAAAGCATTGTGATTGAATGGCCTTTGTGGTTGTTTATAGCTCCTCCAAGACAACTTGGTTTTCTCGAATCTGACTGCTTGAAAGCGAGATTTCGGTCCGTGTCTCTCAATCGTTTAATCGTCTAAGAGAGACAAAGCAAAGCGTTTCTGGGACGGGAGGGATAAATGCAATCTAGAAAGCAGAGGCCATTTCTTTATTTGCGGCTACTTTGAAAAAAAAAGTTAAATTGATTGCAATGCCTTAGCATGCCCACTTCATTACGGTAGTTTCCTTTTTAAATTAAAAAAACAACAACAACTTTGTCGTCGATATGTTTTGGATAATTTTTACTTCTTTGCGATATAAACTCTCAAATATAGTCGATGGGGGAAGTCGAGGGTCTAATAATTCTCAGTGGGGATAACGCTATGCGACGGATAAATCTCTCTCAGCCCTGGATAAATCGCTACCCAGTGGATTAAAAAACGTATTTCCGTCTTAATATCCGACGCCCGATAAGGATTTATCAAGTGAATAACGTTATCCACTCCTAGAATCTGTGATTAGGTTAGCAAACTCGCGCCACTCTCTCAATCTGTGATTGGGTTAGCAAACTCGCACCACTTTCTCAAGTGAAAACCGGCAATTAAGACTTGGTCGCCCGCGTTTTCCCGCGATTAGGAAGTTTAGTTGATTTCACTTTGAGTTCTCATCGGTTTTGAAAGGTATTTTCCTTTCTTCCGATTAGTCACTGTGACTTCTTCTATTTTGATTTAAGAAAACAATCTTAGCAAAGAACACAACTGCTCAGGAGCTGAACGGGGGGTGAAGGAAACTTCAGTTGGCTTTCGGCCGCCGGACAGGAATGCCGAACAAGAAATTTTTTACCAAAAAATGTTTATTAAAAGACTATTGCGAACAAATATTCTGATATTTTAGCATTCTACTCAATACACAGCTTTTTCAAGTGAATGCAATTGTTGCAACGCTGTAAAGATTTTCAATGCACCGAAACATCATTGGTCGCCTGCAACCAGAACTTTATTTGATACCTTATCCGTTTCAGCAAAAAGTAATTTATATGTACTCTAAATTAAACTAAATTGCAGAAATAAAAGAGTTTATTTCATGCGTACCCGAAATAAACAATCAATAACCTTCCCCCTAAAATAGGATGGGAGACTTTAAGCGTTGGAGAGCAACCTTTATTGAGAATGAACAACTGATTAGTTTTCAACTTTCAGCAAGCGTCAATTAGGCTGCTTTTGCTTGAAAAAGTTGGAATGAAAAACGAATTCATCTTACTCGCTCAATTAGCGGTTAGCTGGACATCTGTTAATTTTCGTAATTCAGTCAAACAAGTACAATGTGGTAATATTACAAAATTCTCAAAAAACTCGACACGCTATCTCAAGGGGTACTCTTAAGTTTTTGAGCTGAAGACAGCTTACTTGCTTGTAAGCTAGCCTAAGGCGTAAATCTCTGGCTGTTAGAGAATTTTCAAATATCACTTTTTATTGTAATAAAAATTCTGAATATTACCCATGCTCGTGCATTTTAATCTGCGCTGCAGAGTGCATGTTGAGCATTTCTTATAGATGTGAATTGGAATTCCTAGCAAATCATATTAAAACAATTGATCGTGTAGTGTGATCCTCCGGGTAAGGGTAGTCTGGAAAAGTACGGTCGACAGATGAACGCTACCAAGGTCTCTCAGCCAAGATTCAAAACATTCGACTGACCACAACCTCCTCACATAACTTTGATGATGGCTTCCAACTATATTTTTGAAACATCTGTCTCTCCCACCGAAAACGGCCGTTTTTTAAGAACTATCTGGAGCGGCATGAGTGCACTTACCGATCGACTGTTATTTTCAGGTTTAAATCATTTTCTTTACAATGAAGCAAATAAAGCAAATTTATTTAAGTATTACTACCAGCGTCCACAGCCTCCCACAGTTTTTTCCTCACTTGTAATTAGTGAGCCACAAGCTTACACAGCAACAAAACAATAGAGAAGAAAAGAGGAGATTCTACAGCACTGTGCCTTGCTCCTGATTTGCTGGTTTTCATTGTGCCAACATTGACGCTGGGATCGATTAGTATCGTGTTGTTGAACCTAGGGACGCGGAACACGAACCTTTTCACCATTCCGTTAAGCTCGAACTTTGGAAAGCCTGGTGGAAATAGAACGTATTCGTTGTTTCCTGTTAAAGCCTGTGAGGGAGAGAGGTAAATGTGTAGTATGTTAGCACCCTGTACTGATTGACTTATGTATACAAACTTAAAATGACAATGGCCATGATGAAGACGAACCAGCCACCAGTCATTTTATTGTTACCCGCGTTAATGATATTTTTATTTAATAGCATAAAAATATTTATCCATTTTCACATCTTTTTTCCTTTTTGATGTCGACCTTTTCCTCTAGCTAATGGCGTACATCGAATCACAAAGGGCTAATCATGAAAGGATAGCATTAGAACTGTTTCCTGGAAAATCAAGGGTTCAATTGATGCGATTTTTCAGGAATGCAGATTTTTTTTGCACCCTGTGAGTAAGACTTTTAATCTTTCAGTAAATAGATAGGTTGCTCGGAAATCTCTTCTTTCGCCATCATAAGAATCCTGAGAGGTAACCAATATGTTAACTGACAATTGCTGTAACGTTGGGACCCTATGCCCCTTTTAAGGAATCTTAGTTCCGCTTTTCGCTGGTGAACCGTACACATCGTTTTTCGCCCTCCTTTGACACGCCACTTCACCCCTCCCCACGCGAGATCAGCCAAGAGACACTCACCCCTTTATTGAGCACCATTTCTGAGTTTCCACCCATGTTGAATATTTTAGGACAGTCGTCTTTATCATTGGGATCATCAGGAACACAAATGTCTTCTCCTGGTAGCTCATCGTCATCCACTTCTTCGGGTTCCTCTGCCACGCTTCTGATGCTCATTCCGACATCAAGGAACTGACCTATTTCGTTCGCACCAGTAGTATTATTTCTGCACACATCGGAGTTCATGCCGCAGAACTGCCAGTCACTAACCTTAAGAAAGGGGAAAAAGAAAAGGATTAAGACTCAATAAACGTGTAATCTAAAGACTTCCACGACCACTACCCTGTTGGAATCGAATCGTAACAAAGCATGTTTTTGATCAAGAGAGAAATAAATCGTGGTGCAGACCCTTAGGGGGGGTCAGGTAAATCTTATCATGACTCAACCAATATCCTCTGACACCCCTCCTCTCCGGCGATAAATAACGATCGATGAACAAAATAGAGTACATGAGATCTTCTCTCACAAATAAAAGCTCTCTGACCTGTGTAAAAAAGGAAATCGATGCAACTTACTTTGATATTAAATTTGAAAGTTCCACTTCGAACATTAAATGACTCGTTGCCAAATGTGATTTTTCCTGACTTCAGAAATAGTACCACCTGAATTTCTAGGTTTGCTTGAGGACCAGCCAGGGAAACAGACAAGTTGATACGTTTGACAGGGAGTCCTTGAAAAGTTGTAGAGTTATCCAACGACGAGAAGGTGAACTTTTGAATTTGAGTTGCCAAGGAGGTCAATGCATGTTTCTTTTGTGTGGGACCGGTAAGACCGACCACATTTCCATTCGAATCTTTTTCTTCCATAGAGTCAACTTGAAATGTTAGCATCTCATCGTCGTCGTCGAAGTCCTCTTCCTCCAATTCCTCATCATCATCATCCTTGTCAAAATGAACTGCCTTTATTTTTCCTGTGTTGCCTTCTATTCTGACTGAAGTGTCAAATCCCCGAATTGTAACAGTGTTGGCATTTGTATCGATGTCATCTTCGTCAGCCAAGCACGTTACAAGGAGAACGGCTGTCAAAGAAAAAGGCCAAGAGAGAATAAGTGTAATTTAAAAGGAAAATTTTCTGCTTTAAATTAACCCTTTGACCCATAAGAGTGACTAACTTGTAATTTCTCCCCACAATTTCATCCGTGAATCACACATTAAGAAAACGAGAATAAAGAAAATAATCACCAAATAAAGAAGCTCTTGATTGTTAAACAAATTCTCCTTTTCAGCACTATAAGAAATGCACGGAGAACAGTACGGAGAATATGCATAATGATGTTAAGGTAAAAAAGGTCAAGAATCGGACCCAGACTCTCAACAACTGGCACTGACTGAAACTTAACCAAGTTTGTGTTCCATCGGACGACTGGCTTTAAACCATTTCTGCTAAGACTAAAACAAACTCTTATAGTCGTTTTTACCGTTATTTAAATCAATAATAACCGTTTCCAAGAAGATGTAATCGTTAGTTGAGCAGAAAAGTTCACGTTCTGACTTGATCTTTCAAAATCAAAAGTACTTCGGAGGAGTCATCTGATCGTCTATAAATGAAACCTTGCATACATTAATTTACCGAGCAGCTCAAAGTTTAAAAATATTCGTTTCAACCACAGTTGAAAAGTCGAATCCTCGAGGCATTCATGTTATCGTCTTTTTATTAGCGAACACCTGGCTAGACACATAAATCCTCTGTTCTAAGATGTAAATGATTCAAGATATTCTAGAATCAATATGATTTATGTAAATAGTTAAACGAGAAATTCGTATTGTTGCTTACTGAAGTGAGATTAGGATGAGTTTTTAATCCCAATATCCAAGTGAGGTTCAGAATTGCTCTATTGATTTGTGACATTAGTCCAAATTTCATATTACTTTCCGTTATGTTATTCATTAGCAGATTGGAAGAAAAGTATTTTAAAACAATGCCCGTTCATGTTTGTTTAGGAGCGTTGAGTTAGTCTAACTTGGCACCTTATTGTTTGAAAAGAAATCTATAACCATATCTATTGCAATTATATAGCAGCAATGAATTCGTCTTAAAATATATGTGGTAGCTGCATGTTTTCGATCAAACCAACATAGCAATATAACTAAGAGTGGATGAGCCTGCTAAAAATGAAAAACGCTTAAGCAAATCAGCCAAAGAGCACGAAATCATACCATTGCCATTGGTTTACAGGCAAGCTGTCTCAGAGAGTAATTTGTATCACCTGGATGCTTTGGCTCTCTTCACAGTCCATGAAAAAGTTCATACGCATGAGCTGCAATGAATTTTGAACGTGCCTATCTCGGTATTAGGTGGTCGGCCTGTCGACTTTGGAAGAGTGTCACCTGGGTACTAATCTCTCCTCATAGAATGCTATCATTTTTTGTCAGCATGCTCGCGTTTGTCACAAAAAGACTACACATCGACCGTTTCTGTTATATTGTAAAACGTGTGAAAGTTTTTCTTTCGCGGAGTAGTCCTTACATCGATATTACTTCACAGGAAAATTAGACTGGAAGTCTCCTGTTGAAGAGGTTTATAATGGTTCGCCGTATGAGTAGGTCGTAAAGATGTCATTCATTTTTTTAAGGTTGAAAATGAAATTATCTAATCACCTCTAATGTATTGAACCATTAAGAAAATTTCCATTTGTAATTAAATACACTTAAAGAAGCTTTCTCACGCGCATGAATTTCAAATCCAGAACTCTTGAAATTAGCTTTTAACAACAGAGCTACCTTAAGTGGAAAATTGAAAATTCACTGCTTCGACTAATTAACCTCTTTAAGTATAGCTTTGGCTTCAAAATATTTTTATATTGCTTTTATAGCGTTCGATATAGTGGCTTCTCTTTGAAAGATGTTGGTTTTTCTTTTCCTGAGTATGTTTTGAAAAAAACTGCATGTTAAATTTAAACACGTTTCATGAGCTGAAGCAAACTAAATTTCAAATGAACGCCGTAAGAAGACTATCGTGCTTTGTTTCGTAACAGCGCCATATCGATTGGAACAAATGAAAAATTACGACTTGGACATTACCGCCCAGAATTATAGTTGAGATAAATAGGTTTTTGGTTTAAATGATGAGAGGTAAAGATAATAAAACGAAAATACATGTAGATTTAAAATTAACGAAGTTTCCTCGCTGCTCGATTAGAATTAAATAAAAAATTAATCAGCTCAAGTTAATCAGTCGGTTAGTCACAAATCATTAATTCTCATAACACTGTAATTTCCTTAACAAAGGGCGAAAATTAAAGCTATTTTCCGGTCTAATTTTACGATTTTTAGTAGATATAACTCACCAAGACAGACGAACAGCAAGGAGAAACGAGAGGAAATCATGTCAGATTTCAGTGCTCGACTGTCAGGACTACAACAACCTCTTTCCTCGACGAGGAAAGAAAATTATGAAAACTTTTATTACAAGCGCATTAATATAGCAACTGATTGGAAACTAATTATCCCCTCGGGCTCTGACGTTTCAATTGGCAGTAACTTGTATTGATCGATATACCATTGCATTGATATTACACCGGTTGTTGCCAAACATACATTTAAAAGACCCTGAAAAAGAGCTTACTTCAAGCGCGAACCGATTTTAAGCGGTGTTCAGCTTCCCCCATCTCCACCTCTTCCTGATCTTCGATAAAGTTTGTAAGAAAGATTTCAAACCCTTTACTGTATATTAAGATTGCAAATATTTTGGGATAATGACTTGTTTAGCCAAATAAAGGTCGTTGTTAGGGCAATATTTCTGTTGTTTACGCGATGTAAAACTTTGGAAACACATTAACAAAGAAAAACTCCTTACGATCTCATGTACGTCTACCGTACGCCGTGCAGTCTGAGGCGGCTCTGACACGCAATAGAACTTTCACAAGACTATTAAAAGCGCAAGACTGAAAGAACTAAGAAATCTCAGACAACACAGTAGATTTTTGCTACCAGGTAAAAAGCAAAGCTACACCATTCCGCACTATAGAGTTAAGTTTCTTAAAGTGCGTGACGAGGTATGAGGATTTTTGACAATTTAGAGGTAGCTTAAATAAGGTATTTTAATAAGCGCGACGCACGAGGAATCTTTTAAACTCAACCCTTAACGGTTCATTGTTTACCGAAAACCACCATTGTGGAAGTGACGTGACGATAATTAGAGTGGCAAAGACAAGAATCACTGCAAGAGTTGAAGAGTTTCCTGTTTACACACAATTTATATCATTAAGTTTTCGTCTCTTTTTGTAACTTCTCTCTTTTCCTTTGTAACATGTGGAGTTCTCAACCCTTAACAGTCCCAAGATATCATCTGAAGTTTCCCCCTTCTAATAACTTTTATTTTTTAATAAATTGATTAAAATAATCCGTGGATAGAGAGTTTGTGTGTTAATCAACTCTGGGATTTACATGTTTGAATGATTTTAGGCTTGAAAACCAAACTCGAAACTGTTGATGAACATCAAAAGTTTTCGTCCATTTCCTTCCAATGAAAAACAAAATCCGCAAGTGATGTTGATTTTGCTACTAACAAAGAGAAATATTTCTTTATAAATTTTTGAGTTTATTAGGATCGCAATGCTCGGGCCACGAAATAAAAGAAACTCTTCTCAATGCTCAAAACGCGAAGAAACTTTTTCACCAATCTTGATGTTTGCTGAGGACTGAAATGAATTTGCTGACAAAATCCGGACTTGTCTAGACGTCTGTGGGAAAGAATGTTTCTAGAAAACACCATAATCCGGTTTCAAATTTTATCATGTCTATTTTAAGGTTGATATGAATCTCATTATTTTCTCACGGCACGATGTTGTTTGCTTCAAATAACGGTCGTTAAATACTTGTTACTCTTTCAGTATCGTTTACTTATGGCAACCAGGTAAAACAAAACTAAAGAGATGAGGATGAGTCTGTTTATTTATCTGCTTCTTCAAACTAATGGCTTATTGAATCGTGTAATCTTTCTGTAACCAGGAAATCGCTGTTCACGGTATTAGTTGAAAAAAAAAAAATGGGAGAGAAGAATCTCGACTTTTATTTAATCTGTTAGATGAGTCTAGGAAGTGGGCGATGAACGGGAATCGGTCTTGAAACTTTCTGTTGAGTGAGAAGATCGAAATCATAGACAGAGTTCCGAAATTTGAAATGCAGTTTTGTCAATCGTCCCGAAGCTCGAGAGAAATGAAAATATATCTTTCAGCACTCAGAATAATTGCTCCCTATTTTCTCAATCAACCCTTGGACAGTAGCTCGAAAGCAATGAATCGCATTCAGTTTATCGAAACAAAAAAAAAAAAAAGATTGTAACGTTCGGAAAATCAAACTACTGTTTCCCTGCCACGAAATCTTTCTAACGGTCTTTCGGAATTATGGACTCAAACAATATTTCTGCGGGTGCTAAAATGTGATCGTTTTATTAGATATTTTACCATCAACATATGCTAATTGCATGTCACGTCTATTTTAAACTTCCTACGTCATTGCTCGTTTTTCACAAATGTATATTTATCTTTTAGTTTACACAGAGGGTATGGCAGAATATATTACGCTTTCACTATCGGTTGCTAATAGCAGCCATGCATATCAAAGATAAGGATGTTTAGTTTTCAGGAAGTTTACCACTAATAGCTTTCTCATTATCATAAACTTATATTTCTTTTAGCAACTGAGATAAGGTACTTGATCGTTATCTATTCCAGCAAATGAGGATTGGAAATGGAAACTGAGAGGATTTTTGATCAAAGTTACCAGTTTAGCTTTTCATTTCATCAAACCGGGAAACGAGTTTTTAGATATGACCTTTGTTTAACAAAAAACATTTGTTATTATCCATTCTTTCCTCTCACTGCTTTTGAGAAGACTCTTTGAGAAATAAAAGCTTTGTGTTATTAACTTACAGTATCCAGGGACAACAGAGCTGTATTGTATTGTTTTCACCGTAATGAGAACCTCTATAGTATGTTTTGGAGACCGATTTAGTGACCAGAAAATTCTTTTGAAAGAAGAATATAAAAAAAAAAAGAAAAAGAAAAAACAGACTCAAAAGAACCACTACTAACTATGGTAGAAACTTGTAACTCGTTTTTTTCTCAGGAAGGATAGTAATGTAAAACCATGGCCACTGGATAAAAATTGTATTCTACTAGAAGGGTGTCCTTTTTATTATCAGTTTCAGTTGTTTATAATTGCTACGGAAAGGTAACAAACTACTATAAATGAATCTTGCAAAAGAGTCTGCTAAACCAATTAATAAAAGCAACACAGAGACGCAAACATACTAAGCAACAAAAGATAGGAAACGAAATGCAGTGATTGGCCAGCGTTTTGCCCTCCTCCACCAGGCTTGTTCGTTGGATTAGTAACCGCAGGGATGTAAGAACCAACATTGACACTAGGGTCGATGAGGACTGTGTCGTTGAACCGTGGGATGCGGAAAGTGAATTTCTTCACCAGTCCTCCTATGGTCTCAAACTTTGGGTAACCTGTGGGAAATGCCACGTAGTCGTTGTTACCCGTAACCACCTGCGGGAAAATCCGAAGAAATAAATACAATTTAATTATTTCATGAATTGTCAATAAGATATTTCAAGAGGAAGGACAGAGCACCGCAGAGCAACCGCATCAGCTTTTTCTTTCACAGCAATAAACGAGCCACCAAATACGAATACGTTTCCAATACTTATGGTGGCGGGGAGGGCTGAAAACGCGTTTGACTGACTTGTGAACTCATCTGATAAATTGTGGGAATAGCTGGAGCCAATCAGGGTATAGAAGAGTCTTTCTGAGGGTAACAACAAATTAAATTTAGCCGGACAAACAACCCCGAATTTCGACCCCAGGAACGCATTTCACGTCTAGTCATTCGAAAGACACTCACCCCTCGATTGAGCACCATGGTCGAGTTTCCACCCATGTTGAATATTTTAGGGCAGTCGTCTTTCTCGTCGGGATCATCGTTAACGCAAATTTCGGCGGATTCGTTTTCAGATTCTTCTATCTCTTCAGGTTCTTCTGCCTGACTTCTAATGCTGAGTGCAAGATCAAGGTACTGGCCAGTTTCATTCTGGTTGTTCTTTGTACAAACGTCAGAATTTCCGCCGCAGAACTTCCAGTCACTAACCTGTCATGGAATTAATAAAGCTCGTTTGCATGCAAAAGTTGAGATGCTAACTAGCTAGCTTTGATAGATTCACTTCAGTTCCTGAGAGGATTATGGGATTTGGTGGCGTTTTTCAAATTCACTTGAGTAAAAATTATCGATACTACAAAGAAATTTCCAACCGAGTCAGGTCGAGCGTAATTCTAGATTGCATTGGTTTTGCTTAGCTTCGCTCTGTGATTGGTCAGGAAAACTTACGCCATCCTCTCAACCAATCACAGGCCTCACGATCTAATCGCGATTCGGTCACTCGCGTTTTCCCGCGCTTCTGGCGGTTCGCTTGTTTTTTTTGCGTTTTCCTTGATTCCATGAGACATTTTCCTTCGTTCTGATTGGCTTTTTTTATTGTTTTGGTTTGGCTTTATTGAACTCTAAGCCGGGAGATTTTTTTTAAACTCTCCACCCTGGGTATTTAAGTGTCACTGTACCTCAGCAAATTTAAGTGATCTCACCCCATCTCTGGCCTAGCTGAACATAAAAGAGCGTTAGAAGTGTTCTGCGCTCCGAAACCCACTTTAATGTGGTATTGCGAGTGTAACCCACACAGATGAAAATTATGCCTTATCATAGCCATACTAAATACCAAATGTACCTTGATGTTGAATTTGAAGGTTCCACTTTTCACTGAAAATGTCTCGTTTCCAAACGTGACGTTTCCATCCCTCAAAAACAGCATCACTTGCAGATCAACGCTGGCGTTGGGACCAGTGAGGTGCACAGACAGGTTGACATTTTTGACAGGGATTCCTTGATAAGTTGACGAGTTGTCCAACTGTGTGAAGGTATACTTTTCAATCTGAGATACCAAGGAGCTCACTCCATGTTTTATATTTGATGGCCCCGTCAGACCGACCGGGTTCCCAGCCGAGTCTATTTCCTGCAGTGAGTCAATTTGAAAAGTCAAAACACCTTCATTGTCGTCACTAAAATCTTCCATTTCGCCTTCATCGTCATCGTCATCTTCGTCATCGTCATCCTTCTCATGATGAACTGCCCTTATTGTTCCTGTATTGCCTTCTATTCTGACCGACGTATCATTTCCACGAATTGTAACGGTGTTGGCAGCCATGTCTACGTCATCTTCGTCAGCCAAGGATGTCGCAAGGAGGACAGCTGTAAACAATTCGGCAAGTGAATCAGGTAAATAACTCTTTTGACCAAGTTGGAAATAGTAGTGACTGCAGCTTAGCAGTATTTTTTGTTTGTTTGTTTGTTTTTTTTGTCGTTGTATTCAAAATCTGCCGATTGGGTCCAATTCTTAACCGCGTTACCAGGAGCTCGTGAAACAAAGAGACGCAAACACAAGTCTGCTAAACTATGTGACTAATTTTCCGGAAGCCGTTTTCAAGACGCCAAGAGATTGTTTACAGGAACGGGGATAATTGTGAAGGCATTGATATGAAAATTATTTCAGTTTTTAACCTTGAGAAAATGAAACACCTTTTACAAAAAAAGTTTTCACGGTTCTTTAATAGTCATTATAAAGTTAACTAAGGTTTTCCGAATATCGGGATGAACTAGTGACTGAAGATATAAATGTTTATGTTCCTGGGGTAAAGCATGTTGAGGTCGAGTTTATAAGCTTGTTTACGACATGGAACAAAAAATTATATTGGCCTCGAAGAGACTCAGCAGCATTCCATGAAAACATTTCTTTCAAAACGATATACACACTTGGATACACCATCGAATATCATAATTGGTGTAAGATGAGAGTTAATCGTTTGACAAAATTAGTGAGCGTTCACGCTAAAAAAAATTCAATAACTATCTTGAGTTGCACATGCAATGCTTACAATAAACAGAACAGTTCTGTGCTGTCAAACGTACAAACCAACTTTGCAATATAGCTCAAGGTGAACTGTCATGGCTGCCATGGACGGAGTAAATCATCCTGCTTAACCATCTTATTGTCATGAATAAATTCCCAAAATACTTCACTTATTCAACTGATGCTGAAAAAATGGCATGCGCTTTGTATAGTTTTCTTCGTTCGTCTCAACAAATGAATAACTTTCACCAACTCATGTCAGAAGCACATGGATTTATATTTTAAAATTTTAGGATTTTTTATTTCCTTTTTCAATCGTTCTATCTAAGTTTCAGGGAAAAGCAGGTAATGTATACTAGGATTTGTTCCTGTCACCCAATCAACAAACGAGCAGAATCCACATAAATTTTGATAGGTTAAACAATATTCCTTTTTTTTGTTATGACACCGTTAACCCATTCTGCTTTTCTCCCAAAGGGAGAGACAGAGGCGGGAAAGGTTTCGAATGAAAAACGGTCTCCTGAGTTTTCCGAATTACTCTTTTAAGGCTAATCATAGGGTTTCCGTAAAGGTTTAAAAACCGATCGAGTGATGGTGTTTCAAAGCTGCTTGAATTACTGAATTACTGAATTACTGGAACTGGTGAATTTCATTTTTTTTTAATGTATAATAACGCTTGCAAAGTCAACGAAAAATTTGTACTCGATAGTTTATATCGCTGGCAGATTTTAAACCGACGAGATCCAAAAACGGAGAAAGAGGCACGATAAATGACATGTACTTATTGACTGAGTGGAAAGGCTGGAATGGAAACTATTTGACTTGAAGTCATGGCGAACTGACTGAGCGCCGCGACGTCCTTGCGTTATGACCGAGAGCTAAATATTTTCCCGTACGGCCCGACCTAACACATTTAATAAACATTTTAATAAATGACCATCGTTCTACCCAGTTTTGGCTCGCAGCTCCCCGTGCCGCCGCGCGACTTCTTCCTACCCCGCTTGTGGGTCTTATGATAAGAGAGGGTTTGGTTTGAAATCTGAACGTTACAGATGGATTCAATTTAAGTATATATATTTGCAAAAAGTTGGTTGTTCTTCCAAATTTTGTAACCTAAATTGACGCAGTATTATTAATTAATCGTTTCATCCTACTTTCGTCCAGCATGTTAGTTGAAACTACTTACCAAAACAGATGAATAACAAGGAGAAGCGTGAACGAAACATCTTGGCTCTCAACACACGATTGCAGCAAATTCTTTCGTCACCGCGCACAGAGAGAGATATAAAAAAGAAACTACAACTTCACCTGTATTTATTTGGAAACTGCATGAATCTTGTGACGTTTCAATTGGTAATATTCGTGTTTGAGTGCCGTTTGCATCATCAATATATTTGCTGCTCCTTTCAAAATGTCGTGAACATTTGAGTACCACATTCTCATTCGACCGTAACCGATCAAAAAAAAGAGTTTTAGGAGGAGCGTGTAACTGCTCACATCACAACATTAATTTGTTATCATCTTTTCTTAATCCTCTCTCTTCTCTTCAGTGGGTGATGAAATTGCGTGTAGATAATTAAAATCGTTTATTTCTGGTTTTGATTGTTTTGGCTCAGAGACTATTGGAACAAAGGGAAGTGATTGTTGAAGCAATATTGTTGTTGATGGAATGTATAATTTTGGAAACTTTCACTTGAGAAAATTTGCACGGACAGTCTGCCATAGCCATAATGTCTACAATCCTTTTTGTGTACCAAGAAAAAGTTGCTATTTTGATAATCTGCCTCTATTATCCAATTTTATAAAAGCACAAAGGCTTTTAACATGAAGCCTGAATTATGGGTCGTCGTATATCAGACATTGTTTGAAATTTCAGTTTTCAAGGTTGCGTGATACACCTGTTATGACCCTGAAGCCACTTCTGGCGAATGAAAATAAAATCGCTATGAAGGAAAAACAATGAAAAGTGTTCCCTTTTCGTCTTTTGCGAAACAAGTTACATTTTCACGGACACGAAAATACTATCAAGAAATTTTCAAAATTCGCGTCTCTAACTACTATCTACTATAGAGGCTACTGTGTAGGCCTACAGAGCTTTATCAGAACATTCACGAAAGTGAAATTTTTACTCAAATTTTGAGGCCAAGAAGGCAATATGTACGCATAAAAGATCGAAATTCATGGCTACCCTAAAAAAACGATCTTAAGCGTGAGATCCTATCTCTCCCGAACCTGTATAATATAACAAATATAAATATAAAGGCTTTTGGATAATGCAGAATTTAGTCACGCAATGATTCCTCATTAAACCGTGATGTGGAGAAAAAAGGATTAGGCAAACTTTCTAATGATATTTCAATATTTGTTATATTTAAGTAAATAAAAATTGCGTGCAAGAACCAACCCAGAATAACATCATTGCGCGGGGTATTGTCTCAAGGTTTCTGCCTAGAACGATAATCCAAGGGCTTAGCCTTCGAAACATCATTTCTGTGCACACTTAAAAGACACTTTGCGGTTTGTTATAAATGATTTGAATGTACTTAATCATTTTATAACGCTCGTGCGACCCGGTTCGATGCCGACAAACTCCGCCTCCAACAACGAAATAACAAAATCACCATGTAGAGGACTGAGAAAAAGTAAAAGTAGAGAAATTAAGATAAATTGAAACAGTAAAATGATAGCCTCTAGAAGTCACTGATTGTTATGGGACCGTTGCTTCTTATAATAATTGATAAATGTCACGAAAAAAATGAGGCATCGCGAGTATACCGAAGCTTCTAATTTATTTTTTTGCATGTTTATTTTCTGTGTACTTAGATGCTGCAACGTGAATATTCCTCGATTCCCAACGCATTATCCTTGTTGAAGTAGATAAAAGCTGAGATCATTCAGAATAATGCCGAAAACTTTTGACAATCTCGATTCTGATATTAATAATGACAAGTTAGCGGCCAAATGAAAAATCATCACACCTTAACAACCCTTTCGATCAAAAACAGACCACAACAAAATACAATATATTTGAGTCCATGTCAATTAAAAATATCTAGGGTGATAACTTTATTGCAAAGAAAAAAAGGCGGTTGTCATTGGCAACGCGACCGTAAGTCGGGGTGCTGTAATTTTTTTTTTTACGACAAACATGAAAAAGATAACTTCATCAGAAAATTAAATAAATTAAAAGAAGAAGCGAGAGTTGATAACCACGGACAACAAATCGTGCAGTAGGGGTCCAAAGTGCGTGTTTCATTTATTCATTCATCCATTCATTAATTTTTTTTTTATTCCTCGATTTTATTTCTTACTTTGTTATTGTAATGCTGATCTAACGTTAGCATTTGTAACAGCAAAATAGTTAATTGTAAATCAAAAGTACGCAAAGCTTTTACTTAGCTCTTGAAACGTTAGACTAGTTTAGTATTAAAAGTAATCTTCTCTTACAGCAAACATTTTGATAGAAATAAAGATGTTGTGAAAAAACAGAGGTAAATAAATAAAGAAGTAATGCCGCGTCTTTGGACTTCCCTCAGGCCAGGGCGCTCTTGCTAATAATCCTCAGTTGAGACTGGGAATGATTTTGACGAAAACTACGTCAACTTACGGCCAAACACGGCCATTTTCCATAAGTGGCGCCATCGCTGAAATTTTAAAACAGATATTCTGCCAATATCATCTAATTTTCTTTAATGATGACAGGCGTGTTACTCGTAGCAGTTTTCTTTTGTTTGTTACTGGGTAAGTGAATTTTGCTTTCAAACACATTCAATGATTACACACGCTCTACGTTTGCTGTAAATTAAAACCAGATGCAGAATTCAAATTTTCTACTGTTCTGAGTTGTTTGTTTTTAGACTTTTCTTCCTTATGAGGAAGCAGAAATGAAAGATTTCCTCTCATTATCTTAGCAAATCAAGCGAAAAATGGCTGCTTTCTCTGGTAAAGGTCTTAAACTGTATTAAATTGAGAGAATTTGTCGTCATGCAAGCGTTGCATTCGCAATTCGAATTTATCTAACGGTTAAAACAGGTTCATTTGGAACTATTTTTGACGCCTGGAGTTTATATTTTTGAAGCTCTTCATGACAAAAGGCTATAAGTAATTCGCGATGCTGAATATGCCAAATTCTCGTAACTCTTCAACCGCTACCACTTCAAGCTAATGTAATATTTGTTTATTTCCAGGTCAATGCACCCATTCTGGTTAGATTAGTGATCACTTGCTAAGGAAGTCTATATTTATTTGTGCTTCACATAATACCCGTTGTGGCATTTATCAAAATTGGATGAAAGAATGTGAAGTTCCATTCCATTTTTTATTATCATACAGAAAAATTAGTAAATTGATTCGTTGGGCTATTCTTTCTTGCTGAACTAGGCTTCGCGGTTATACCTTTTAACGAAAACATAAACTCACTGATATTTCAAGTTTCTGTCAACTCGAGAATCTTGTCATTTTTCATTAAATAAAATTGAGGATGTAACTTAGTTTGTCAGGTGTAGTTCAATTTTATCTTTCCATTTCAAGTCTGATATTGTTTTGATTGTTGTTTTGATAAAGTTGTTTGTTTGTTTTCACACAGGTGCAAACCCCGAGGCCGGTCATGCCGATGAAGGTCACAACGCAGATGGCATGGAGGTGGGTTCAGGTGGCGTGTTTTGTAAAGCTGTTGCCCGTTCAGGGAAAATCATGTGTGCTCGTCCTCAGAAAGGGAAAATACAAGATTATAGCGAGAAAAACGTCGATCGCATCGTCATTGAGTTCGACAGTTTGCAAGAGAAGAACAGTGGTGGTAACATGGTTGGAAAAGCCGGGCGGAAAGGACATCAATTTGACTCGTTTGCTGGTCAAGACTTTAATTTTGCCGGCTTGAAAGATGTAACGTATCAAGGGCTTCATGCAAAAAATTTCAATTTCTCTTCTTCTCTACCCGGGCCGAACGCAACCTTTACGGTTTTGGCGTACATGTTTGAAGATTTTGGAAACATCACGTTCGGGAACGAGACTTCAGAGATGAGGAAAGGCATGCTCAAGTTTAACATTCAGGTATGGCTAATAGTATGAAGATTAGGATCAGAGAATTGTACTCGACTGAAAACATGAAATTTTGTCGAAGGTTACACCAAAACATTTTTACTATGCTCAATCGATAATTCAAAACAAAAACTTTAAGGGCGCCTCATCCTCCCCTCCCTCCCTCCCCTCCCCTCCCCTCCCCTCACCCCTCTCCCTCACACCAACCTCCCATTCCTCCCACCAACAGGTAAGACTTGCCAAGAATATAAGGCTTATTTAGACCACGACATTTTCCTGGATCAAATTCTCAAGTGCAAGAAAGGAAAGCAGGCTCACTGTTGATAGCACTCAGGCTACGGAATTTATTTCTTGTTGATCTGTAACCCCGAGGGAATTTTTAAGAAGCTTAGTCATTTATATGTTTTAGATCACGGTCTGGTTTTATTCGCTGACAAATCAACACAAATTCTTTCACATAATATCCAGCTGGCTCCTGTTCTTCCCTTAATTTCCCTAGTCTTTTGCAAATTTACTCTCTACAATGTTTGCTTAAAATTTCTAAAATCCACCATGGTGCGATCTCTTGACTTACCAACACGTAGAAGTCTACCAATGGTTTTTCCCAAGAATCACCGCCTTTCAAACGGAAAGGGTTATTAAAGTGTTTTTCTGGGAGACTTCAGCCGTTCCAACCTTGACTAGTTGCATTTGAAACGGTTTTCTCCAAGAGAGCACGACGTCCGTTGGTGCTTAGCGCCCTCGTCGAAAGAATTAGCACGATTTGCATTACACGGACGGAGATGTGCGAAGAACTTCAGCATTAACTATCTCTTGTTTTCAGATTGAAAACTGGAAATTCTGCTCCAATTCAAGTGATGACTGCGAGAGTGCTGATCGAGGAGAATTTATAGATGTCACTTTAGTCATCAAAAGTAGAGGAAAACCAAAGTTTCGTTCCGAAGAAGAAAAAGAAAAGCTATTAAAAAAAGCTCGCGCCGGACGACACGGTGGACATGGAGGAGGAGAGGGACATAACCATAACGGTGGAGATGGAAAAGAAAAAGGTTCACAGGAATACCATCCCAGGTGCTTCAAAAGGGGGAAGTACAACAAATGTCCCAAAGAGTTTGATATCGGAGGGGGATCAGACATGATGCTCAGCTCACAGGTAAAACATTATAAGTTCACGGGCGAAATGCACTAAATTTCTCTGAGAAGAAAAAAAAACATAAACTAGCCAAGAAAACCATTTTAAAATGTCAGATGGGTTATCAGTTTACTGATAAGTCTTGGTCTTAGAACATACGCCCACGTCCTCCTTTACCTCGATTTATCTATGAATTAAGTGAACAGAGAACAGCTGTTCTTTGAAGCAGTCTCCTTGCCTGAGAGAAGTTGCTCAAGATTAAGGCTACATGTCGATTTTATTAATCCTTTGGATGTGATCATTATGGTTAGCACCAGACCACTTATAACCAAGGTTACATGCTTCCAATGGCACTCAGGATAGGAAGTGTTCGGCTAATAAGCTTATATTATGAGTCCTGGTGTTGCTTATTTTATATAATTTTATACATAGAAAATACTCCTGATTAACTTTTTACTTACCTCTTAACATATATATATATATATATATATATATATAGATAGATAGATAGATAGATAGATAGATAGATAGATAGATAGATAGATAGATAGATAGATAGATAGATAGATATAGCTCTTTGGCATACAAAGCTTTGCTTTCATGTCCAAATTGAGCACTCTACTAGGATGAGTCATTGCTGCTAGCATTATGCATGCTCACTAGTTTTTCTAGTTTGAGCACTCTGGCATGACTTAGATGGTACCACATGTGTGAGATCACTTGGGGTGGCTATATGGCCTTACCTCCATCTTAGCATCAGCACCGCGCTGATGAGGCCCAGAAGGCCGAAACAGTACTGTCTGCAGTTAGTTATATATATATATATACGAAACAGGCTTGTCGGGAAATGTAGTTGCGTCGTTTTTTCCTCTCATAATATTTATTCTGCTCTGCTTCAACGTATTGAGCACTGTTCCACGCGAAAATCGACTTGCAGACTTCCTATATATATATATATATCAGTAATCATATACTCCAGCTCTTACTCAAAACACAAAGTACTCCAATTATATTTGTCAATTCATGTAATTATTTGTCATAAGGTGAGAAGGGGTGCATTAAGATTTTTGTTGTACACAATTGGCACAGAGAGGTCCCATTATTTTCTCTTGACTTAAATTAAAACATGGGGTGACGGTTTTCGGAATTACATCCTCTATCCCTGGGGGATGTTGAGTCTCGACTCGGTGTCATGTCATGCTAATACTGTAGTGTCTTAAATAAATAAATAAACACAGTATAAATTCCGAGTTATAACACACACATGGCTAGAACGCAACTTTGTACACAATTCCGAGTCACGTGATAATCGCACTAGTCCCAGGACTCTACAATTGCAATATTGGCAGAGTGTAGAGGGCGTGTCAGGCGTGTCTTTCCCCTCGGCCCCCTAGAGGCAAGAGGTGCAAAACACAGGAATACCACTTATGATAATCACCTGGCCTGCTATATTTGTTGCAGGTGATGGTGGACGATGTTGTGATGGATATGCCTGGAAATGGTGAATATCCTAAGTATAAGGAACTCGGAAACAAACAAAAATTTATCTTCCGATTTCCGAAGGCTGCAAGCAAGATTTTATACGATCCAGGCCTTGAGGTCGGAGCGCAGTCTAGTAATGAGAACAAAGTAGAGTCTGGAAAAGTTAACGTTCTGATGTTCGTTACTTTGCTAGCTTACCTTTTCACTTTTTGAGGATAAAAACCTGGCGCTTTGGGTTTGGATGCATAGATAATTACTTAAAATGCTTTTTGAATGCGTATCCAGTAAGAAAATGACTTCGTCTACAGGGTTTAAGTTTTATTTGTTCATTTGTCTGGTTTGCTCGTCCTTCTTTTAACGCTATGTCCACATTAAAGTGCTGAATTACGCGAATATCTTTATGAAGACTATTTTTATCCTTTATTAGTACTGAAACATCCGTAACTTGAATTTCCGATTTGTTGGCGAGCGCAGGGAGTCATGTGATGTTATACCAATAAGTTAAGAATTACCGCAAATCTTACTTTAAAATTTGAAGTTAGATTCAAGACGGTAGGGGTGGTGGGGGGCGCTTACTTGAATAAGCTTTCCCGAATCCAGGCCATAGTGATAGGTGTGACAAAAAGAGCGTCGTTCAACCGCTCTATTTGGTAATTATTTTGTCTTCTATCATTATTCGATCTACAGCTGATCTTAAAAGCAGTGTTTTTTTTCACGCTGAACAACCGCTTAAGGTGAGGTCTGGCTATTTTTTCCAGTCCTGTTTGTTGGCCTTGAAGATGGCAGCCCTACCTGAAGCTTCTCAGATATCTCAAATGAAGAATTCACAGAAAAACAGGTTAGGCTTATCGAATAGTCAGTTGGACTTATCATCCGCGAGAGGGCTGGATCGAGGGAGCCTTTCAATCAGCCCAGAATTCGATGAATATCTCTCTTGAGGAGCTGCTGGAAGCAGACTTTTGACGATTTCGGACTGCTAGTAAGACGAACGAAGTTGTTCATGAAGACATATAAATCTAAATACGTCGAAAATCTTATTCCGATTAGAAACATATTTCAACACCCAATTTCTGGTACTATTCCTACGATAATGTAATATTTTTTTAATATATACACGTACTAGCAACTTGCTCAGCCATAAATGAAATTCATGGGATGATGTTTTCATCTCACTATTTTGTGTATCGTAATATCTTCTTCTACCTTTTCGTCTTATTCTCTTGTTTTTAAAGCCAAGAAAAGTTTCGGTTAACCCAACTCCACAAGGCTGATTTTTTAAGTATGATTACGCATATTATACCGATACAAAACGTTTATCTAGCCTCAGCGAATTAACTAGCGGTTATTTGCCCAAGGTGAAGTCAATATTACTCGACAGTCCCCCAATCGAGTTGGCAGGAGAAACTCGACAGTCTGTACTAATCCGAAAGAGGGTAGATGTCTCTCAGAGAATTATCTTGATATTTTCAAAGCAACTGTAATTTCTTTCGTTTCCTTTGTTTCTTTTCTAAAACTCAACTTCCAGAAAAAAATTATCTTCCGGACGAGTAAAGACTTTAGTGCCTTACGGAGTTTTAATTAAGCACTTTTGTGTGCTTGACGCCGTAAAATTTAATTTAGACTAGAGTCGGTGAGTCCAAAAAAGTGTTATTCACCACATGCTTCAAATTATAAGAAATGCGTCGAGATATTTCCATATGATTTAAATAAAAATAAAATACTAAACGTTCACACAAATTTCAATTTGAAACTAAATGTTTTCCGACATTTAGTATAAACAAATATCATTGAACTAAAATTCTTTTATCGTAGTCGTCTAAAGTACGTTGCTCTGCTATTGAAACTTTTGTTTGATCTGTTCGGCTTATTTAAGCGTCTACAAAATTCATCCGTTTTAATAAAATTTTGCACAGTTCTCTCGGCAGAATCTTAGCTCTCTATCTTGGTGTATCTGCGAGTATATGAGATGATAAATGAAATTCACATTAAACTAAAACGGAAGAACGCCCTTTCTGAAATGCGTTGTTTGGAACGTTAGAGTTTCGTAGGTGGTAATAAATTATTAACATAGAAAGTACCTTAGATTAAAGCTGTAAACATCCTAAAATTGGCTTTTGCTAAAAGCTTTTTCTAATTTTCAGAATTTAGCATATTACGCCACCCCTTCTTTCATCTGTAACTAGAATTTTCTCTAATTTATTTTTCCACCTGCTAGGTCTTGCTCGCCCAAAAAGAGACCAGCCGGTGACAAGTTTTCAGTTGTATACGAGTTTTTGTCCTATATCAGCTTTATTTAATTTACTACAGCTTATCCTGACAATTACATCGTAGTTTTGCAGAGGTCAAGAACAGCCGTGAGGCTTGGCGATTAAGCGATCGCTTAGTTTGATAACAGCTATTCACGTTATCTCCTTCGGTTCAATGAGGAATGGAATTTAGAAATTAAAGACATCGTTCAAAAGCAAAAATCACACTGTCACTGATAAAAATCTTATCGTGTTTTCTCAGTTGCTGCTCCTGTTGCTTTTTTGCCTTTGTATTTTTAGTGTGTTGTTGTTTCTTTAATAAGACTTTAGTTGAGGATCTTTTCCAATTTCAAAACAAAACCACTTCCAGTGCTTTTAAAACTGATTCATCCGGCTGATATGAACGGAGAAATTCACAGGTACTCAAACATGTCACACGATACTTCATCTTTTCGACAGCGCAGCATAATTACCTTGCTTTCCTTGTTTCATATGTCACATTAATTTCTGCCTTTGGTCATTTTGAGATAGACAACCTAGATCATTCATAGCTAAGGCTAAAACTATGGGCTGGGGAATATATTTATTTATAGTTGGAGGGAAGTGGCAAAAACCTCAGGCTGAACTTCGAATGCCGCGCTTTTCTGGAGCAAGCACTTCGTTTGCCTGCAAAGTAAGAGGGAAGGTTCCTTACTCTCTTTTTTTTTTCTTTTTACTCTGTGTTGTGGTTCTAACGAGTATCACCAGTATCGATCCCCAGACCAGTTATTCTTGCATTAAGCACACTTTAGAAATGATTTTAACATTACGGTTTTCAATTAGGAGAGCAAATTTTCGAATTGGTCGTAAGGTTTGTTTCACCGCACTAAGCCAGTTCACTCTACATGCGATATGAAAATAATCTACAATTGAAGATAATTTGATGACGAAAAGTAGTTTGGCCGAAGAACAGGGAGTGTCAGGCCAATTTCATGGTAATTTAAACGATTTTTTAAATCGAAGCTCCTTCCAGTTTTTGTGGGTCATTAGACGCTTTACAGGGTAGAAGAATATTCTATTTCGAAGCACTTTGGTCAGTAGCTCTGGGTATTTATGCATCTTCTTTTAGTGCTTCCACTTAAATCTACCAACAACTGAGATAAAGTTAAGGTAAAGTTGAAGCTATTAGTGAATAATAATTATTCAATAAAGTCTTTATATCTTGCAGATTGCGACACCATGAAATTGGCCCAAAGGGCCTTCGCCACTAACATTTCGTAGTTAGTTATATTCCATTGCTTTCTCTCGATCCATGTTCCGTTTTACATTCGTTTTCTAATTCCTGAATGAATGTTTATATTCAATATTCTGAGCTGTGTGATACTACTGTAACAGTTTTTAGATTTGGAAATCTCTTATCCTTTTTTTTTCATTATTCATGCGGCTTAATCGGAGACTCCACAAAATGGAATGAGTACGCTGAATGACTTATTCATCATTCGATTAAGTGCTCCCTAAATTGAAGTGAAATTCTTATACTTAACGAAAGTGTTATCAGGCTTACAGCAACCACATCAATCACATCCAATGTGAACACACCTTACCCGAACAGGTCGTCTAATAAACACACTAATCCGAGTTTTATCAGACGGATGTTTTTCGTTATGCTTTAAGAGTTCCATTCTTTACTTTTAAATCTTATTTCTATGAGGGAGTGATTCATGCAATTAACTCTGGTTTTGCCATTTAATCTTCCATATCCGGATAGCCCATGATTTGTCTTCATTAAGTATTTACATTTTTTTTCGGCCAAAGCTTTAGGATTAAATCATCTCGAAATTACGGTAATTAGTCAAAGTCAGAGTTCCCAGACAATTCTTTTCATCTAAATCTTAGTTCGAAGTGTGGGTGATCCATGCAATTAACTTTGCTTTTAGCTCCTAATCTTCCATATTCGAATAGCTTTTGACCTGTCTTCATATCATTTCCACGGTAGGAATGTACTACAGGGATTTTATCTTTCACATTAACCTTTTTTATATTTTCAAAATTAAATTACTTTGAAATTAAGATCAATTCATAAATGTCAGAAATCTTAAAGGAATTCCAAACTCTAAGAGCTTTCTTCATCCGAGACGAGTTAGCAATTATGAGATTACAATATTTCCTTAGTTTATGGCGTTAAAATATTTCTCTGCAGTAAATGGATCGAGTATTCTCGAGGCGTTTTACAAACGGCTTTTGGGGAAAACGGACAAATATGATCCCTAATTTATCATACTACACCGTTTACAAAATAATTACCGAATTTCTCCTTCTGTTTAATACTCTTTTTTTTTCAGAAAATTCATAAAAAATTTTTTTTAATGTCTGACAGCGTTATCAGTATGGCATGGTCTGTTCATGACCTTATATAGAAGTAGTTCGTGTTTAAAAGGTCGCATCCTACTCGCTTTAATTTGTGCTTACTGTGAGACAATGTTGAATTTTGGTCAGTGATGTTGACATGTTTGTTCACTTGATACCGTCGTTTAGTTTATTATTCTGGTATCTTCATGAACGTTTTGCTATCCTGTCAACATGATACTAACTGGCGAGAAGCTGAGAGCATTTTATGGGTGACAAGACGAATTGCCCCCCTCCTTAAATCGTTTTTCCAGATTTTTGTTTCGCATGAATTTGTAAGAAAAGCAGAAATACCGAGAGTTTTAAGATATTTTTGTCAAAGTTTTGAAATCATAGATTAACCCAGGAAGATATTAATGACAGAAGTGCTAAAGTCGCTTTTTCACAGACCAGCACATTTCAAGATCCTTTCACATTAGTCATCATAATGAATTGGAAACTTTCCTCCCCATATCAGACTCACTCCATCTTAATTGCAACTGGATTGTTTACATTCCGAACAAAAAACGGCTGCCGCTAGTCACACAGCACTTTCGCGTTTTTTGTTTATCTTTTCAATCCACAAAAATAATTTGTCTTTCT